TTTTTTTTTTTTTTTTTTTTTTTTTTTTTTTCGGTTTTGTCCCCTCTCTGAAGTCAGCAGGGCAGGTGGGAGGAGGGGTGAGGAGTCACCTCAGGGCCTCCCCTCGTTTTCCCTCAGCTTCCTGCCCGCCCATCCATGCTGGTTTGTGGAGCTGGGACGATGGGCGCCCAGTTTCTGTGCCCCTTTTCCGTGGCTGCTGCTGTCTGTCCCGCCCGCCCGCCCTCATGGTTTTGGTTCATCAGCTGCTTTTGGCGGCCGCGGGAGCAGATCTGCAGCCTGGGTCTGCCCACTGCGTCCGTGCCGCCCCCGCACCACCGGCCCAGGTCAGTCCGGGCAGCCCCGAGCGCCAGGTGGCGCCGCAGCATGCCCGCCATGCTGGAGCATAGTTTGCCATTTGAACCTCCCTCCCCACGGTTAGGAGCGCTCCTCCTCCATGTCGGTTACGCTGTTAAGTCTTAGTCGTAACTTAATTTAGACATACATGCTTAGTGACGTACTTAAGTGTTTCATAGTAAAGTACAGTGATGTTAAGTAAGCTGTTTTTCCTTTTCTCTCTGTGAATTGTGTGTGATTAACGATATCTCTTTAGATTTCTTTTCTCCAGGTGCTAAATTATATCACACAGGTACAGGCCAGTCCCGCAGTCAGAGGAGGGAGCGGCTTTGCTCCAGTGGGGTGTAAACGAAGTTTCAGGTGTTTCTGTCCCGCTTCCTCAGTGGTGATGTCGCCTCTTGACAGCCGCATTCCTAGACAGCGCTCAGGGCGCCTCCCCCAGGACCCAGCGCCTCTTGCACTGTGCCCGGACCAGGCGAGCCCTGTGGTTTCAGACACTCCTGCAGTTTGCGAAAATGTCTACTTCTAAATACGTTGTTTCATTTTCATCACCGATGCCGTGTTCCAAATACTGCCTCTGATCTCGGGAAACTTGAGTGCGCGGGAATCCGAGGGTTGCTTCTAGATCCTCCTGGTCCCCCTCCGGCTGCCCAGAGCTGGCGCCCCTTCTCCTTGCATCCTGTCCTGTCCCATGTGGACGGGACATGGCGAGTGTTGCTGAGTCCACACTCGTGTACGGAGCACTTCAGGGCCAGCGCGTGGCCACATGTCCTTAGCTGTTGGGCTTTGAAAGTGTCCCTTGGGTGTCAGGCAAGTGGAGGGCCAGAGAGACGCCGCAGTACGGCTTGGCGGGTCCTCCCAGAGAGTGTGTCCTCTTCCCTTGGCCTTTCTGCATCTTCTGAGATGCGTCTGTGTCCCCCTCCCCACCACCTGCTCCCTCTTCCTCTCCATTGACTGAAGGTCATGGCCATGTCCCTGTCGGGGACCCCGCCTGTGTCTCAGGCACACAGTGTCTGTGCGGGTCCCTGCTTGGACCTCCCACGTCTGCCCTCGGCCCGCCTGCTCCAGCCGCTGCCTCGTTCACCTCTCACCCCCTCAGGTCTTCTCCATCCTACGCTCCTCTCGCTGTGTGCCTTTGCCCTCCTGGTCCCTCCGCCTCCTCCTCCTCCTCCTCCTCCTCCTCCTGTCAGGTTGCAGACATGCTCAGCCACGCTCAGGTGCACGCGTGTGCTCAGGACGGTGGGAGGCTCCTGAACCACAGTGACCTTTGTCCCCTCACAGTCTGAGCTGCCCTTTCTACCCCGTTTCCATCTTTCCCTGCCCCCAGTTTTGCTTGTCCTGTTTCTGCCTGGTCCCGGCTACAGCAGCCCCGGTCCCTGTCTCTTCAGCTTGAGAGGCCCCACGGTGGGCCGCTCCTTCCGGGGGCCCTTGCCTGCTCCCACCCCCACGGCCCTTCTCTGCCGCGCTCATTCACGCCTCACGCCCGTGTCGCACTGTCCCCTGCTGTGTGGTGCTTTGTCACGCACCCTGTGCCTCTGGCGTGGGCAGCCCATCTTCAGCCCGGTCTCAGCTCTTCCCATGTCCGTCTTTGTTCTGTGAGGTCTTGGGCAGCTGTCTGCCGTGCACTTCCATCTGGGGAGGGGCTAGTGCTGCCTGGGCCCCGCCTCGGGAGGACTGTGCTTCTCGGCCGCGCTCCACCCAGCCGGGGAGGCCTGGAGAGTCCAGCGCACTCCTGCGCCTAGAGGAGGAGACCCGCCCCGTTAGCTGGGGGCCGCGCTCACCCCAGACCCACTAAACTTCGTTTATACTGCCACTCTCGTGTTTGGGAAATGCTAAATTTTTTTTGCCTTTAAAATTTTCTGTTTTGATCCCATGGTGCATCTCGCTCTTGCTGCTGACAGCAGAGTCTGACCTGCTGGAACCCGTTGTGGCCTGTATCTTTGTGCATTGTTTATCTACCTGTATATAATATGCATATATGCGTATGATATGACCTCTCCTAGGACTCCTTGGGCTTACCCAACAGTGTTGGGTAAGCCTAGTGAGGCACCAGCTATGATAGATACTGTACCTGTTAACGCTTTAGAACGATATATGGCTGCTGTCAGCACTAGCTGCAAAGCAAATTGCAAGCCAAGGGGGAGAATCCTGGGTTTCAGAGAAGCAGACACACATCCACGATGCACACCCCTGACTGAGGTGGAGCGTTCCACGTGGGCCCCCGGCCTGCAGGGTTCACTGGCAATCTCTCCACAGGCGAGAGCCAGAATATTCCAGCACAGGCCTCTGACCTTCCCCTGGGGGGCGCTTTGTCTGCCAGTAGTGATGGAGGCCCTCACCGTCCCACTGTCTCCACTGCTGCTTTCTAAGATGAGCTCCTTGTTCCAAATCTGTTCGTGACACGGAGCCCCAGCCCCGGGTGTCTGGGGTGGAGACTTGACTTAGGCGTCAGTCAGCAGAGCCGTCACTGGGAGTGCGGACATCACCGTCTGTCCACTCCGTGTCCATTCGAGTGGCGGCTCCTGGGGAGGGAGGCAGCCGCCCCAGGGGCCCACAGCGCCTCACACACAGCTTAGCTGAAACCCAAGGTCGATCCCTCGGCCCGTCCCTAATACTGTTCATCATCCTGTTTTGTGTCACAACACCCTGCTACCTTGATTCACTCTTCGTCGTTGGCTAGGTTTTGGATTTATTACTTTCGAGGACGAACAATCAGTGGACCAGGCTGTCAACATGCATTTTCACGACATCATGGGCAAAAAAGTGTGTAGTTGTAGTTTTATTTTACCTTAAGACCAAACCAAGTCTTAGGCAACTTAGGGGTTTCACTGGAAAGGAACATTCCTTCACAGAAAGGGTCGGGCGAGTTCATCCTGTGAACCTTTGCTGCCTAAGGTGGACCTGGGTCTTTAGACGTGAGGAGGGTCCCGTCCTTCCTGAGCACCCTTCCTGCGGGGTGGGCGTCTCTCAGCTTTGCTCCTGGAGCCCTCCCTCTGGGTGACCTGGGACTGGGCGGGGGGGCGCGTGGGCTGGGGCCGGGCGGCTGTGGCGGTGTTGGGGCTGGCTCCAGTGAAACCGCAGTGTTGCCTCAGGCTTGGTTTCCACGACCACTCCTTCAGATGTCTGCAAATCCCCATTGTCCGACACTGACCCGTAATGTGATCAGCAAGGGACCTTTGAGAGCCCAGGTTCCGCTTAAAATCGAAAGCACAGTGGAAACATCATGAAGGACTGGTTGTTTGAATTGGGTCACTTACTGTGGAACTCCGGCACCAGCCACATGCTCTCGGTAGTACTCAGCCACCATGCAGTCAAGTGACCTCTGGTTGTGTCATCTTCATACTGTGTTACCCCCGGAGGTGAGAGGGACAGGAGGCCACCCCACCCCCACCCCCAGGCCAGCCCTTGGAAGGTGTGTGTCAGAAAGGGGTCCCTAAATCCTTGTTTTACCTGGACCCTTGGAGGTTCTTGAGAAGTGGACTCTGAAATAAGTAACTGGTAGAAATTCTACAGTGTGGAATTTCTTGCAGTTAGCAAAAGCTTAGGGGTCCAAGTTTTTGCAGGATTCCTGTCTTGGTCCTTTCAAACCAAGGAGCTTCGCTGGCTGTGCCAGGCCGCCTCACACACCGAGTGGGATTCTGACCCAGCCTCCCTGGTGTGGCAGTGTCTCCCGCTAACAGAAGACGACACTCAGCCCTTGGGACAAGGCCGTGGTGGTTTTTTCAATTAAAATGTCCTGGAGGGAGCATCGCGCTCATTGTCTCCTGCCCCCGCCCTCTGCCCCAGCCCAGGGTCTCCACAGCAGAACTTTTTTAAAAACATGTGTAGCATGTGTAGTTATTTTTATATACAGGTGGCTTAGATTTGGTTGCAGACTTCATTAATTCCATTTGAACCCAACTAAAATAGGAGACACAATCCTTGTTCCGACATTCAGTGCAGCTTGTAGTTTAAAATTAGCATGCAGGCTGCATGGGTGCGCGACAGCACAAGCAGAGGTTCAAGGAGTCTGTGCTCAGCGTTTTAAGGGACTACAGCACACTTTGGGGAAAGCATGGTCTTGGTCTGTGGGACAGAAAGTGCTCTGTACAGCGCACACACCTGCCATCCCTGGGCCGCCCGCAGGTGCCCCCAGCCGTGACTGGTCTGCGCGAGCTCCCAAGCTGGGCGACCTCAGTGTGGGTCTCGCCTTCCAAGCAAGGCAGTCGTTGGAGTCCAGCTTGCCCGGCGCTGACCTTCACTGGTTGGCTGGAGCGACACTGGCCCCTCATGGGGATTTTCTGTTTGTACAGTGTTTGGTCCCGGGCGGTAATTAACCCTCCATGCCCGGCGATTCTGCATTGGTGCATTCAGATAGGAAAGGGTAAAAGCATTTTTTTTTTTTTTTTTTTTTTTAAGTACAAGGACTGCTCTGCTTTGTAAGCAGGAACCACAGTCCCCTAAGGAGTGTGTGTGAGACTCGTTAATTGGAGTTCTTTGAAACGGGTCTCTTGGTCCTGCTGTCGCATTGCCGTGAGCTAACGGGATCCTGTTCCCATCATAGGCGGGTCCTTGGGGCATTGGGCAGGTGGGGGCTTTGTGCCTCCGCGGCTGCTGCTGTCTGTTCTCTAACAGGCAGAACTGAGGGATTCTGAACGCCGGATGTGCAGCTCTCCAGACTGAGACCCCAAGGCCGGCTCCAGGCGGATCCATTGTCTCTTTATTCTCATTACAGTTTATCATAAAAATAAGACAAATTCAGGATTCTCAAATGCTGAGGCAGCCCTGGAATTGGGGGAGCTTTGTGTTGTCAGTCCGCCCATATTTTCAAGCAGGCATTAAAGGAAGGTCAGCCACTGCGCCTAGAATAAGTAGGTCAGGCCTGCTCCATCCATTGTCCCCGGCCCTGCACCCTCCTCCTGAGAAGGCTGTGGCTCCTGACCGTCTAGAGAGCAAGGGCCCCGGGCTGCTGAGTGAACACAGTATGAAGATTGCTTACTGATCCAAATGTCCATTTTATTGCATGTTTGTTACTTTTTTTTGTTAGATGTAATGTAAGATTCTCTTATCACATCCATTCCCTCTGACATTATTTTTGAGTTAATTGAGATTCTTTAAGCGTTAGCCTGGGGAAGGTAAGTCTTTATCTTCCATTAGACATTTTAAATTTAAAAATCTAAGTAAAACACCAAGCGTGTTTCTCAGGTATGAGTTAAAAGCACAGGTGGGCGGGTTCCGAGCGGTCCAAAGGGCGATGAGGATGCCGATTGCTGGGAAGATCCTGGTCCCTTTTTGTCCCCGTGTTTTCAAGAGGAAGGAGGACACTGCCATTTTACTTGAGTGAAAGACCCTTCATCACGCAGGAAACCCCGAGGGCTCTGGGCTCGGTCCTGCTGCCCCGAAGCGGGCGGGCTCTGTCTTACAGTTGTATCTGCTGTACCTGAGAAACATTTTTTAAACAAAAAAATTCAACACAAAAAAAATTTTTAAGAAAAAAATGCTACTGGCCTAAATAAGGTTTATAGTTAAGTATTTAGTCTTAAGTTGTAAGATGCTAAGTGTAGTCGTAAGTTACCCGAGGGTGTGTCTAAAGGGAAGGGGGTGCTGGGACCGGCAGCCTCGCCCTAAACCAGAGCTCGGTTTGTTTAGGTGGAAGTTAAACGAGCTGAGCCTCGCGACAGCAAGAGCCAAGCACCGGGACAGCCAGGTGCCAGCCAGTGGGGGAGCAGGGTCGTGCCCAACGCTGCCAATGGCTGGGCAGGCCAGCCCCCGCCCACGTGGCAGCAAGGATACGGCCCGCAAGGTAAGGCCGAGGCAGAAGTGCCTGTGGGAAAATTCCCCTTCTCAGACTCGACCTGGGCATCCTGGGCTCTGCGATCACCATGGCCTCCACACCTCTGCTGTGCATGCGCAGAGCCGCTGCTGGCAGAGCTGGCACAGCACAGTGTCCTTGAGCCCCCACGAGGTGCCAACTGAGAGCCAGCTCCTGGGCAGTACCCACAGCCTCCTTAGTAGCGGGGTGGCCACGGCTTAGGTGCCCATCCGGGGCCTGGGACTCGCTGTCACGGGGAAGAGCTGCAGTGAGCGTCTGTGCCTCGCGATCATGTGCCACAGCGGGTCTGAGCATGAAACCCTGAAAGGGCTGGCGTTGCCAAGCTGAGCTCAGAATCAGGGTGCTGCCCCCAGGGGGCCATGAGGACCCGGCAGGCTTTGGATCTTTGCCACCTGCCGTTCCCTCTGCAGTGCCATGGGTCCTCTGTGGCCAGGCCCATGTGTGGCCGACCTGCCACCCTCAGAGCTTCCAGCAGCCACAGAACCCCTGGGCTTGGCCGCAGCCTGACCCAAGTTGCAGGTCAGGGTTCCAGGTGAGCCTCATCCGGGTGCCGAGACTGGCTTCCCTGCACCTCGTCTAAAATCTTTCTCTCTGGAGCCTCCCCTGTTGGAAACTCAGAGGTGCTGTGGGACGGTCCCTGCTCTCTCAAGGGTTAGAAGTCAGGTTTCTCTGGGTTCCTCAGGTGGGGCCGGGAGGTCACCCGTGCCCCACTCAGCAGACACAGTGCCTGCCGCCTGTCAGGGCGCAGAGGAAAATGGCTTCAAGGCTGTTCTACGGGGGTGGGGAGCGCCTCTCTGCTCAGCGTTCAGGGCCTTTGCCCTCAGGACAAACGGGCTCTGAGCACAGGAGGCTCCAGGCTCAGTCCCAGCCCCTGACGTCCATGCTCTGCGGCTCCTTCTCTGCGTCGGGCACCTGGGTGGACACGGCACCAACCTCCTTCTGTTCTCTTATCTAGGAATGTGGGTTCCGGCAGGACAGGCGATTGGTAAGTCCTTGTTTATAGAGCAAAGGCGGGGACAGAAGCCACATGGCAGGCTTCTGGTTCCTGTGTCCTGAGTGCTAGAGAGGAAGAGGGTGAGGGTCCTGCTGGGGCCTGGGTCTGGTTGTGGCCAGGCTGTGTTGTCCAGCGCTCTGCCCATCACCCCTGTACTGTGTGTTTCAGGTGGCTATGGACCGCCCCCTGCAGGAAGAGGAGCCCCCCCGCCACCCCCACCGTTCACCTCCTACATCGTATCCACCCCTCCTGGAGGCTTTCCCCCTCCCCAGGGCTTCCCTCAGGGCTATGGTGCCCCGCCACAGTTCAGTAAGTCTAGGGGGCCCGTGGGAGGGCCTCCCGCCTGCTCCAGAGACACCACGTGGTGGGCGGGGGTGATGGGGAGTCTTATGTTACACGCCCGGCCTCAGCCACAGGGAAGGCCATAGGTGGGGTGCCGGCTGGTCAGCAGGTCAGCTGCCACCAGGCCCTTCACCTGCAGATGGGCTCTGTTGCGCGTGGCCTTGCTGGTTATGCTAAAGGGTGACCCAGGCTCCTGCGGGTTGGAGAACTCACTGCAGGAATGTCTGCGCCCGACCAGTTCTCACAAGCTCCTCAGGAGACGGAGCCTGCCTGGACTTCGTCTCTTAGCCTGGTACTTCAGGATTGTCTGGCATTTGTTTGAGGGTGCACAAGCTCTAATTTTTTTTTTTTTTTTTTTTTTTTTTTGAGACAAGAGTCTCGCTCTGTCACCCGGGCAGGAGTGCAGTGGCGCCATCTCGGCTCACTGCAAGCTCCGCCTCCCAGGTTTATGCCATTCTCCTGCCTCAGCCTCCTGAGCAGCTGGGACTACAGGTGCCCGCCACCTCGCCCGGCTAATTTTTTGTATTTTCAGTAGAGACGGGGTTTCACCGTGTTAGCCAGGATGGTCTCGATCTCCTGACCTCGTGATCCGCCTGTCTCAGCCTCCCAAAGTGCTGGGATTACAGGTGTGAGCCACCACACCTGGCCTCACGAGCTCTCGGTTTTTACTAATTTTCCTGTACTCGTCAGTTGTAATTACAGAGCTGAGTGTAAGATCAGCCGACACACCCAGGGTTTTATTTTATTTTATTTTATTGTTTTGTTTTTTGTTTTGAGATGGAGTTTCACTCTTGTTGCCCAGACTTGAGTGCAGTGGCCTAGTCTTGGCTCACTACAACCTCCGCCTCCTGGGTTCAAGCAATCATCCTGCCTCAGGGTCCTGAGTAGCTGGGATTACAGGTGCCCGCCACCACGCCCGGCTAATTGTGTATTTTTAGTAGAGAACAGGTTTCACTATGTTGGTCAGGTTGGTCTCGAACTCCTGACCTCAGCACACCCAGAATTTTAGATGGGCCCCCAGGGTGGGGCCTTGGCACCCTCCAGTAGAGAAGAAGGGACATGGGCCATATGTAGGGTGTCCTTTCTAGGAGTCTTCCGTCCCTTACCTGCCTAGCCAGGGATTGCGCCTCACAGCATGCAACCAGCAGGAATGGTATCATGATCTGATTTCACCTGCAGTCCCTGGGCCCTGGGGGTGTTTTACAGTTGGGGCATATCACAGTGTGAGCCAGTCCTGTCTGGGGGGCTTGGAGGCTCCACATGGCCATGGCACAGGAGCAGGCAGTTCTGCCCTCTGGCCTGGATCAGGCTCTGCACTTGGAGGCCCGTGGGCCAGATGACTGATAGGAGGCAAGCTGGGTAGAACCTCGGCCCACCTGATGTCCAGCAACAGAGGGCAGGGCGGCAGCACCTCCGGCCCGGCAGTCCCTTCCAAGCACGTCAGGATGCGCCCTTGCCTATGCTGGCAGCTTCCTAAACATGGGGGCTGGGCATGGGGGCAGGTTTTTGTCTGAAGGAGCGATTTTGCTGTGGGGTTACTTGCTCCTTGAGTTCTTGTCTGAGGCCCACCTGGCAGCTGCTCCGCGAGGAATGAGTCAGCCCTGCTGCAGCTCAGCGTCCCGCCACGCTCCCAGGAGCCTGTGTTTTCTGGGGGGAGCGGCCCAGGACCGTGGCTCTGTGGTCCATTCTGTGGATGTCCACAAGGTCTGGGCATTCTGTGGGTTCGGGTGGCAGTCCCGTCCGGGCAGCTCCTGCTGGTCTGCCCCAGCTGCACAACACGTCTCGGGCCTTGCTGTCTTATGCCTCTGCAGGTTTTGGCTACGGGCCTCCACCTCCACCGCCAGATCAGTTTGCCCCTCCGGGGGTTCCTCCTCCACCGGCCACTCCCGGGGCAGCACCTCTGGCTTTCCCACCGCCTCCATCTCAGGCCGCCCCAGACATGAGCAAGCCCCCGACAGCTCAGCCAGACTTCCCCTATGGTCAGTATGGTAAGTGGTCTCCTGCCATGCCGCATCCCTGCTGGCCCCAGGACCCTGGGCACGGCCTGCCTTCTCCTGCTTCCTTCCCCTGCTGGACGCCCCCCAGCCTTTACCTGCTGGGAAAGGGGAGAGGGAGGAGAGGGAGGTGCAGGGGTTGTTGGAGAGACCTCGTGGCAACTCCGACCCCAGCAGAAGGGAGCGCGGGAGTCTTGGTCGCAGCAGAGCATTCGTTGCAGAGCGGGCGTCGCAGGGCCTGCATGTGTGGGAACCTGAGTGGTGACTGGGTCAAGGGAAGTGGGTCCCACGAGGCTGTGATCACTGTCTCAAGGTTGAGGCCCTTGGTGTGGGTCCCGCGGGCACTGGCCCCTTGTTGGGTTCCAGTTGCTGACGTCATCAGCATTCTGCTGGGTCCAGACCCCACTTGGGGCAGAAGCCGGGTCTGTAGCAGGCGTGGCCTGGATGTGGGCTTCGCCCTGGGCTGGATGGCTGTCGTGGCTTGGATCTGCCTGGACGTGATCTGTAGGCAGCGCATGTGCTTCTGGGGCAGGAGCTTGGGGGGGGCAGGGTCAGCACGGGTCAAGGTCTGCATGTTTGTAGTTCTCGCCCTGCACCGAGCCAGGAGTCACAGCAGCCTTGCTCAGGATCAGTGCGGTGGCCTCAGTGGGCAGGGTTCCAACCACAGTCGGCCCCTCCAGCACCAGGGGTCATTCACAAGCAGGGTTTGAGAACATGGGGCACCTGTCTCCAGGTGGCCACGGGCTTCTGGGGTGCCTGTGAACACGCTTCCTTTAGGCCTGGTGGAGGCCGGGGCGTGGGAGTTGTGTTTGGCCGAGGTGCCCGCCCACCCACTTCGCATGGCTCTGGTTCCCCTGCCCCCACGCCCAGGCCTTGGGCCGAGGTTGCCGCATGTGTGGGTTCTTGACCCACCACCAAACCCTGGCGTGTCTGAGACTGGCAGGGGGGCGTGAGGCGCCCGGTTGGGGCGTGGCGTGTGTGTCAGCCGCTGCTCTTGGTGGCGGCTGCTTGGGTTGGTCACCCCGGTCTCGTCTCTTGCCAGGCCTGGGTTCCTATTCTCCAGCCCCGCCGGGCTGCGGCCCACACTTTGTTTACAGTCTTATGGTCAGGCTGAGCAGTGATGTGGCCTAGGTAGGTGCCGCCTCCTTCTCCAGGGTCCTCCCACCCGCCTGCACCGGGAGGTGGACGTGGCTTCCTCTGCCATCCCGGGCGGGGGTGGATGCTGGCGGTGCCCTCTGGGAAGGGGCCCTTGCCGGTGCCAAGATGTTGGCCACAAGCCTTCAGCGGGCCCAGGATCCCCCAGAGAGAGCCCACGCCCACCCGTGCCCATGTGCACCCGACTGGGAATCCAGAGGTCATGGGAGGGGCTTCCTGCCAGGTGTGCAGTGGGGTGGGGAGCAGCCCGAGCAGCTCTGTCCTTGTGAAGACACCGCTGTCCACGCTCCTGGGGTCGGCTGTGTGGGCCGGACGGGCTGCAGGGTGTGCTGGCCCCTCAGCCAGTGGTGTCACTGGGGCAGTCAGGTTGGGCCCAGAGACCCTTCCCTGACACGTGCCACCAATGGATGTGCCCTGACAGGAAGGACAACGTGGGGTCTGGTCTGCGATGGAGGGGCAGGCCCTGTATCGCTGCAAGGGCCCATCAGGGGTTTTCTGAAACTTCAAGAGCCAGCTTTGTAGAAGCCCTGTCCGCCGTGGTACCTCGGGGCATGTGTGTCTCCAACCCTCGAGGCTTCTCCAGCCTCCCCTCGCCCCCCCTCGCCCAACCACGTCCTCGGGATTGAACAGGGAAGCAGCGAGGTTATGTGGGCCACGAGGGCTCTGGAAGCCACTTTTCTCTGTGCGCCCTGCTCACGTGATTTTGAGGGAGAGAACACGCCCGGGGCTCCTCTCTCTGGCCCAGGTGCTGACCTCAGAAGGGCCCCACCCCACCCTGTGGGGCCTGTGGACTCAAGGCGGGCTCGGCGGAACTGTGTCCAGGTGGCCACGCTCGATGGCAGTGCCAGCTGCCCGGGGACTGCCCCAAGCTCACAGGACTCTCTCCCCCAGCAGGTTACGGGCAGGACTTGAGTGGCTTTGGACAGGGCTTCTCGGACCCCAGCCAGCAGCCTCCCTCCTACGGGGGCCCCTCCGTGCCAGGGTCCGGGGGCCCCCCCGCCGGTGGCAGCGGCTTTGGACGAGGGCAGAACCACAACGTGCAAGGGTTCCACCCCTACCGACGCTAGCCCGCGGCGCCGCAACGCCTGCACGGCCGACCCAGGATTCCAAACTTGGGAACTCGTGACAATCACAAACGTGGCGGCAAAGTAGCGACTCAACCTTGGGGGGCGGGGGGGGGGCGCGAGGCTTTTGGAGCGGCTGTGGGTGTCGTCTGGACTGAGGTTTTTAAATATTTCTTTCTCTAACCCATCAGCACAATAAAAAAAAGTCACTGGTTCAACAACAGGGTTTAAAAAAAAATGTCTTCAGCTTTAATTCAAACTTCAGGTTTCTTTTTCTTCCTTTTTTTTGGAAATTATTTTCCTGAGCCTTTTGTTTTACGGTATATTGTAAACTTTTATGTTAAAGAAAAAATATACATTTACAAATTGTGAGATTTTTAAGAGAAATTTTCTACAATGTATACTGGCTTATTTTTTAATTTAAAACAGGGTTTCCGTCGGCACTGGTGGAGGGGGGTGCGCTGTTAGTCTCCTCGCTCCTGGCTTTGGGGGTTGGGACTTGGTGGTCCAGAAACTCTGGGAGCTTCAAGAAGAAATCTACTGAGTGTGTTTCTGTTTTTTGTTTAATTCCTTGCTTTTGTCGACTGACCTGCTTGGTAGTGTCTGAGGTGAACTGTGGGGGTTGCGCACAGCCAGCCACGTGGATCCCACGGCAGCGCCGAACCGGAACCGAGTAGGAAGCCGTTCTCCCCAGGCACGTGGCTTCAGGGCGTTTCCCATTGACCAGTTTGACCCTGGTTTGAATAAAGAGAAGTGCGTTTGGATTAGAAACCACTTTGTGTCCGTTTTTTCCCTCCTTGGTCTTGGCCTGTGCCTACCCTTCCAGTGCCTGGAAAGGTCTGAAGCGTGACGGAGGCGCCCTCAGCCTGCCCTTGGCTCTTGGTGGTCTCAGCAGCGCCGAGGGCTTCAGGGCAGAGGCTGAGTGGGGAGCTGGGCCCATCCCTCAGGGGTCTTGTGATGCTGTGACTTTTAGGACATGGCCGCCACCGGTTTTCTGGGGGAATGTGGGCTCCAGGCTTTTCTCATCTCAAGACCTTTAGTCACATCTTTTGCCATGGAAGGTGATACATCCCCAGGTTCTGGGGATTAGGACAGGGGCATCTTTGGGAAGCAATACTCTGTCACTCTGTCAGGGAAGGCGAGACTTATAAAAAGGGCCGGGCGCTGTGGCTCACGCTTGTAATCCCAGCATTTTGGGAGGCTGAGGCGGGTGGATCACCTGAGGTCAGGAGTTTGAGACCAGCCTGACCAACATGGAGAAACCCCGTCTCTACTGAAAATACAAAATTAGCTGGGTGTCGTGGCGCACGCCTGTAATCCTAGCTACTTGGGAGGCTGAGGCAGAAGAATCGCTCGAACCCGGTAGGTGGAGGTTGCAGTGAGCCGAGATCGCACCATTGCACTCCAGCCTGGGCGACAAGAGCGAGACTCCGTCTCAAAAAAAACCAAAAACAAACAAAAGGACCGCGAAGTCCCAAATTGGAAGCCTACAGCGTGCCAGGCATGAGACTGCAGGCAAAGCCAGAACCCCTGCCCAAGTTCATATTCTGGGGACAGGGAAGGTTTGGCTTAGTTTGGAGAGAGCCAAGAAAAGGGGTACCTCCCACATCCCTGTGCAGCGCAGCTTCCTCACTGAGACAGGACCCCTCAACGCTCAGCCCAGGAAGCCAGCTCCATTCCCTGCTGTCAGAGCCTTCTCCCATGTCCTCAGGAGCTGCTGCCCCAGTTTCCAGGAGGGCCAGGCAGGGGCGGCTCTCCCTCCACACCACAGGTCATCATGGTGTTGAGTGTCAACCCCTCCCATTACATTAGCTCCCCCAGCCAAGGGGCAGCACTCACAAAACCAGCTTTCCAGCCAGGACGGTATCTGCTGCAGGAAAATGGGCAACGTGGGTGGGCCCCACACACAGGTCCTGTGCTCCTCAGGATGGAGACTCAGCCCTCCCTGGGTACAGTGTAATAACTGCTTCCCTTGGGACTGTGGGGATGGATGGCTGGGGAGAGCTCAGCTCCCTGGACAGTGCCACAGCTGAAGTCTGGTTCCCAGAGGTTTTGTGCTTTTTTTTTTTTTTGAGAAGGAGTCTCAATGTCACCCAGGCTGGAGTGCAGTGGTGCAATTTCGGCTCACTGCCACCTCTGCTTCCCGGGTTCAAGCGATTCTCATGCCTCAGCCTCCCAAGTAGCTGGGATTACAGGCGCGCCACCACCATGCCTGGCTAATTTTTTTTTTTTTGAGACGGAGTCTTGCTCTGTCACCCAGGCTGGAGTGCAGTGGCCGGATCTCAGCTCACTGCAAGCTCCTCTCGGGTTCACGCCATTCTCCTGCCTCAGCCTCCCGAGTAGCTGGGACTACAGGCACCCGCCACTTCGCCTGGCTAGTTTTTTTTTGTATTTTTTAGTAGAGACGGGGTTTCACCGTGTTAGCCAGGATGGTCTCGATCTCCTGACCTCGTGATCCGCCCGTCTCGGCCTCCCAAAGTGCTGGGATTACAGGCTTGAGCCACCACGCCCGGCCATTTTTTGTATTTTTAATAGAGATGGGGTTGGCCAGATTGGTCTTGAACTCTTGACCTCAGATGATCCGCCTGCTTCGGCCTCCCAAAGTGCTGGGATTACAAGCATAAGCCACCGCGCCCAGCCGGGTGCTACATCATAGTTAATAGTCACTTTCAACTTTATACTTAATTCCAGTAAGTTATAGAAACATCACTCCTAGGCCGGGCATGGTGGCTCAGGCCTGTAATCCCAGCACTTTGGGAGGCGAGAGCTGGTGGATCACCTGAGGTCATGAGATCGAGACCAACATGGCCTGGCCAACACGGAGAAACCCTGTCTCTACTAAAAATACAAAATTAGCCGGGCATGGTGACAGGTGCCTGTAATCGCAGCTACTTGGGAGGCTGAGGCAGGAGAATCACTTGAACCCGGGAGGCAGAGGTTGCAGTGAGCCAAGATCACGCCACTGCACTCCAGCCAGGGCAACAGGAGTGAAACTCCGTCTCAAAAAAATAAAAAAAAGTCACTCCTACATAGTTCTAGTTACTCCTCTTCCTTTTTGAGCTATCCTTATTATTCATACTACATTTACATAACAAACCCAGTGATATTCCTAACTTTATTTTTGAGACAGGGTCTTGCTCTGTTGCCCAGGCTGGAGTGCCGTTGGCGTGATCACGGCTCACTGCAGCCTCGACCTCCTGGGCTCAAGGCTCAGCCTCCCAAGTAACTGGGAATTATTGTATTTTTAAATATGTCCATGTGTACACAAATTTTTGTAAACACACATTTTTGTATTTTTTTGTAGAGAGGCAGTCTCGCTATGTTGCCCCTACTAACTTTATATACAAAATTTTATAGCTGTTAAAGCCTGAATTGTGCTTTTCAGGGAAGCCCTGTCCTTGCCCTGGTATCTGTAATGACCTGTCTTCTTCCCACACGGGGACCTGAACCCCCAAACCGCACCTACGAGCAAACAGTAGGCGCTCCATAGATACTTGTTGAGGTGGGTGCCATCGTGTAGATGACGGACCACGAACCCGAGGCTCAGACAGGGGAGGCGGCGTGTCCAAAGCCGCTCCGTGGAGGGAGCGGCTCTGCAGACCTCAGGCGGCGGCTGCTCTAATCCCCGCAGCCTGTGTTTTGCCCTCCAGACGGCAGAGGGCGCGTGTTCGCCGCCGGGAAAGCGGAAGCGCGTGTGCGCGCACAGCTGAGGGGGCGGGACACGCTGGCAGTCTCGCGATAACTGCGCAGGCGTGGACCAGAGCGCTCTTTTCTGAGCATCCGGCGAGATGGTGAGTGCTGCGAGTTGGGTCGTCTCTGCCCGGCCTATCCGGCGCCATCCACCCTCTGACCGTCCCGCGGGGGCCGCAGTTCGGCCTCCCGACTACGGCAGCTTGCTCCTGACCCTGGAGGCAGCTGGATGTTGGGGCGCGGGGTGGACCCGGTGGGTGTCGGGACGACGCGGGGTCGGGAAGGCCTGTCCGGGCCTTCATGTCTGGGTCCCCGTAACCCGGAGCCGCGCGTGACCCCCGGGGACGGGTCAAGGCGGTGTGTCCCTGTCGGGCTTCTGTCCCCGGCGGCGCCGCCGCGCGTCTTCCGTGGTGTCCTCGGGCCCGGTGGTCGTGGGAGGTGGGTGTCGGGATCCCGCTGACGTCCGACCCGCGCCCGCGCAGGCAGAGGTAGAGCAGAAGAAGAAGCGGACCTTCCGCAAGTTCACCTACCGCGGCGTGGACCTGGACCAGCTGCTGGACATGTCCTAGTAAGGGCGGCTGGCAGGGGTTGCGGGCGGGGCTGGGCCAGCGGTGGGGCTTGTCCGGGTGCGGGCGGTGGGGCGGGGTTCCGGGGGTCCGAGCGCCTCTGCAGCGGTGGGCGAGCACAGTCTCCGCCCCGGTTTGGGACTGAGCGCGGTCTTGTGCCCAGAAAACTGTCCAGAGACGTTGAGGTTTTTACTTATTTTCAACCTGCTCCCCGTTGTTACTTTTTCCGCGGATTAGTTGGAGGGTGTAGCCCACGTGACTTAAAATAACGGGCAGCCTTAGATTCTAAGGGCAGTGGCAGTAGCTGGGTCCTGTCCAGGCAGGGTGGTGGTGGGCATCTGGCTTTCCTTTTTATTTTTTTAATTTTTTTTTTTTTACTATTTTGAGACGGAGCCTCATCCTGTCTCCCATCCTGGAGTGCAATGGCTCGATCTCAGCTCACTGCAGCCTCCGACTCCCGGGTTCAAGCGATTCTCTTCCCTCAGCCTCTCAAGTAGCTGGGATTACAGGGGCTCACCAACACGTCCCGCTAATTTTTGTATTTTTAGTAGAGACGGGTTTCAATGTTGGCCAGGCTGGTCTCAAACTCCTGACCTTAGGTGATCCACCTGCCTCCCGAAGTGCTGGGATTACAGGCGTGAACCACCACGCCCGGCCTTAATTTTTAATTATTTGTAGAAACAGGGTTTCTCTATGTCGTCCAGGTTGGTCTTGAACTCCTGGGCTGAAGCGACCCTCCCGCCTCCGCCTCCCAAAGTGCTGGGAATCACAGGCGGGAGCCACCGCGCCCTTCCTGCCTTCCGCTGCGTTTTTAGAGGCCTTGGGCCCGAGCTGTGCGCTACAGCATCTCGTCTGAGACTCTGGTCTCCGGGCCGCTTGTCCTCTGAGTCTCTGCAGTCACACGGTGGCTCTTGCATCTGAGGGATGAGTCGCGCATATCTGGCGGGGGTGCCAGAGGGACTTGGCATGTTCATTGCGGTCACTACAATGGACAGTGACAAGTCCAGTGCGGCTGTGTCCCTGGGGAGAACCAAGCTTTAGTTCTCTGTCCCCCGTAGTGGGTAGGGTCTCCCCAGGCCGGGCCGCTCACAAAACTGTGCCTGGTGCATCCTCTCCAGCGAGCAGCTGATGCAACTGTACAGTGCGCGCCAGCGGCGGCGGCTGAACCGGGGCCTGCGGCGGAAGCAGCACTCACTGCTGAAACGCCTGCGCAAAGCCAAGAAGGAGGCGCCGCCCATGGAGAAGCCAGAAGTGGTGAAGACGCACTTGCGGGACATGATCATCCTGCCAGAGATGGTGGGCAGCATGGTGGGCGTCTACAACGGCAAGACCTTCAACCAGGTGGAGATCAAGGTGCGTGCAGCTGTCCCTGCCGGCCGTCCCTGCCAACCGGCCTGGGCCCGGGGTGGGCTGGGTTCGCTTGACGCGGGCAGGATCGCCTGACACCCAGCTCTGCTGTTGGTCTCCTGCAGCCCGAGATGATTGGCCACTACCTGGGCGAGTTCTCCATCACCTACAAGCCCGTGAAGCACGGCCGGCCCGGCATTGGAGCCACCCACTCCTCCCGCTTCATCCCTCTCAAGTAGTGGCTCAGCTAATAAAGGCGCCCCTGGCTCCAGTCCTTCGCGCAGCTTGTTCTTCCCGGTGTCCGGGGCTTTGGGAGGGGGCCTGGGCCTGGTTCAGGTTCTTGGTATGAGGAGGTTCAAGCTGGACGTTCAGGGCGGTGGGAGTGTTGCGTGGATGGCCTCAGTGTCCAAGACTGATAGCTGTGCAGTCCCCGCCCCTGCTCCTGTCTGCAGGGACAGCTGTGGAGCTGGGCGCCCAAGCCCAGGTGTAGCCCCATCCCTTTGATCCCCTCAGCGTTCTTGACCTCGGGGCAGCTCCCTGGCCTCATGCTGTCTTCTGGGTGCCCCAGCTAGAGGGGGCCCCTCCTCAAGCCCCCCACCTGGCCTGGGCTCTCCTTTCTGGCTTCCCTCGTCTTCTGTTGGGAGGGTTCCCACAGGAAGTGAAGAAGCAGCAGGAAACTTTCGGCGACCTGAGCCTCTCCCATCCTCACCCCTGCCTGGCTCCTCAAGCTCCTGACACCAGGCTGCTGGAGTCTGCCCTCCCGGCAGGCTCTATGGCTGAGCCAGCCCCGTCTCCCTAGCCTGGGGCCCCGTGTTCCGTGGCGAGGGTGCACCATCGATGGCCTGGCCAGCTCTGTCTCCTTTGTGCAGGATGCTTGAAAGAACAGGACAAGGTGGCCATGCCTCTGGGCGGGGGGTACCGTCCAGCCCTCCATGGGCTCCCTAATGGCATACGTGGGTTGGAGAACGTTGTGAGAACTAACCCCGTTCAATGCTGAAGTCGCCCTCAACCCAGGCGGGAGGTGGTAACTGCTCAGTAAGCACCCAGCAGAGCGGCCCAGGGATGGCGGCGGGAAGGAGGGCTCCCCTTGGGCAGTGGACGGGAGGGTGAGAGCTCAGCAAGGCAAGTGGGGGCAGGGGAGATGTGAGGAGCCCCACCTCATTTCACCCTCAAATGCCCACAACAGCCTCCTGTGGGCCATCTTCTGTGATGTCACTCCTTTTTTTTTTTTTTTTTTTTTTTAATTTGTTGCCCAGCCGGAGTGTAGTAGTATGATCTTAATTCACTGCACCTAGCTCTATCTTCACATTGAAACATGATTTGCGGCCAGGCGCTGTGGCTCATTCCTGTGATCCCAGCACTTTGGAAGGCCGAGGGGGTGGATCACCTGAGGTCAGGAGTTGGAGACCAGCCTGGCCAACATGGTGAAACCTTGTCTCTACTGAAAATACAAAACTGGGCATGGTGTCTTCTGGCTATAATCCCAGTTACTTGAGAGGGTGAAGCAGGAGAGTCACTTGAACCCAGGAGGCGGAGATGGCACTCTATCCTGGGCGACCAGAGCTAGACTCTGCCTCAAAGAAACAAAAATACGAAAACAAGATTTGCTCATGTTATTACCTCTCGATTTGGAATCAAGTTACAATACAGAGAAAGTGTGGGTCCATGTTTTTCTCTCTGATTGGGAAAAGGTGGGTTGGACAAAGGAAGGACGGCCCAGCATTATAAGCTTGGGTCCAGTACAGCCGGGACCCCCCCAGGCAGCATGAGACTGGACCTGGCTGGCTGGTGCACAGAGGGACCCACAGTCGGTGGGACAGTGTGCTGCACTTGGACATGCCTCTCAAGCCCTCCACTGGACCGGGCGTCCTGGCCAACCCTGCCAGTAAATAAGGAGACCAGGGAGGCCCCTGAGGGCCTGGAACTGGCTGCATAGTCAGAATTGGGGGCGAGTCTTGGCTGGCAGCACCTGAAATATGTAGAATATTTGAAAATGCGCCTGTGGCCTGACCTGAACCAACCTGGGCTTGAAACCAACGGTCAAAAGTTTGCAGTGTGGTCTGGCTGCTGAATCTCCGCCGGAGGTCTCTGGGCAGCACTGGCCAGGTTCACTTCAGTGGAAGCCTGTGCGGGACCCAACTTCAAAGGCCCACCCCAGGTCCAGCTGCAGGAGAGGGAGGGAAGGCGTGTGCATGCAGCGCTCGTTGTAGTCTCAGTTGTTAGCATTTGGAATTCTTTTTGTTTCTTTGTATTTTTTGAGACAGGCTCCGTTGCCCAGGCTGGAGTGCAGTGGCATGACCTCAGCCCACTACAGCCTCCACTCCCAGGTTTGTTTTTTTCCTTCTCGAAGTCTCACTCTGTTGCCCAGGCTGGAGTTCAGTGGCATGATCTCGGCTCACTGCAACCTCTGCTTCCAGGGTTCAAGCGATTTCTCATGCCTCAGCCTCCCGAGTAGCTGGGACTATAGGTGCATGCCACCACACCCAGCTAACTTTAGTGTTTTTTTAGTAGAGACCGGGTTTCAGCATATTGGCCAGGCTGGTCTTGAACTCCTGACCGTGATCTGCCCACCTTGGCCTCCCAAAGTGCTGGCATTACAGGTGTGAGCCACCGCACCCAGACGCCACCCAGGTTAAAGCAATTCTCCTGCCTCAGTCTCCCAAGTAGCTGGGATTACAGAAGCACCGACCATGCCTGGTTAATTTTGTATTTTTAGTAGAGACAGGATTTCACCATGTTGGCCAGGCTGGTTTCGAATTCCCAACTTCAGGTGATCCACCCTCGGCCTCCGAAAGTGCAGGGATTACAGGTACGAGCCACTGCACCCTTCCCGGAATTATTTATTTTTATTTGGTTTTTTTTTTTTTTGAGACAGTCTTGCTGTTGCCCAGGCTGGAGTGCAGTGGTGCAATCTCAGCTCATTGCAGCCTGTGCCTCTCGGGTTCAGGCAATTCTGCCTCAGCCTCCTGAGTAGCTGGGACCACGCCCGGCTAATTTTTTGTAGAGATGGGTTTCACCGTGTTAGCCAGGATGGTCTCGATCTGACCTCGTGATCCGTCTCCCAAAGTGCTGGGATTATAGGCTTGAGCCACCGCGCCTGGCCTGGAATTCTTTTTAAAAATGAAATTGTTGAGGCATTTTAGGTGCTTTTTGCCTCAGATAAGCAAAGTGGGAAATGAGTGAATGCCCCGCTGAAACAGCTTTATCTGCAGCATAGTTTTTCAACCCTGACCATTAGAAATCAAAAGTGGTACACCGTGGTGCACACTTGAAGTCTTGCCGAGGCCCTTTTTAAAAATAAACCAATGGAAATGACAGAGCTTTTGAGCTACCAGGTCCATCTGCAGAGTAAATGACAGAGATGTGTGGGGCTGCACCCACGGTGAGGCAGCTAGCTGCCAACAAGCTGCAGGGCCCCTCCCCGAGGAAAGCGCAATGGGAATGGGTGCTGGGCCTCACTTTGCTTTTGCAGAGCTCTTGTGGCACCCAGCTGTGCCCATTCATACCTGTATTACTTCTGTCGGGCAGACGCCGAGAATTTACTGTTTGGACCTTTACGGGAAGTTTTCTGTCCATAAAAGCCCTCCCTGCACACGCCCCTGTGTGGCCAGCGCTTGGCTGCTAATGGGTACTTCCCTTGGTTTTCTGCAGTTGGAATCCATCATGTGTGATCAGGGAAAATATATATTAGTATTTAAAGCAAAAAGATACTGCCCTCCCCCACCCCAGTTCAGAGAGACACATGTCTTGGTGGCCAGGTTGTGCCCTAGGTCCACAAGCATTTGTGGGGTGTTCGGGAGAAGGGGTGGGAGCCCTTAACTAGCACTAGGGTGCCACTGCTGGGCCCCACTCCCAACTCAAGGCCCAGGCTTTGTCTTTAGGCCTCTCTGGCCACATCCACACTTCTGTTTCCTTCTTTTTTTTTTTTTTTTTTTTTGAGACAAAGTCTCGCTCTGTCGCCCAGGCTGGAGTGCAGTGGCACAATCTCAGCTCATTGCAACCTCCGCCTCCTGGGTTCAAGCGATTCTGCCTCAGTCTCCCAAGTAGCTGAGACCACAGGCGTACGCCACGACGCCGGTTAATTTTTTATATTTTTAGTAGAGATGGGGTTTTGCCATTTTGGCCAGGCTGGTCTCGAACTCCTGACCTCAAGTGATCCACCCGCCTCGGCCTCCCAAAGTGCTGGGATTACAGGCGTCAGCCACCGTGCCCGGCCCCACGCTTCTGTTTCTACCCTCTGGCCCCACACCCCGCTCCAGAACCTGCGTGGACTCTCCGAGACCTGCCTGGCCCCGTCCGTGCCGTCTCAGGCAGGCCGCTCCGTCCTCATCAGGCTCCGGTCTGGCCCCGGCGCTGCGGGTCAGCTGCCTTCAGGCCCTGACCTGGCTCCCGCCGCTTCTCACATCCCCGCGGCCTCCCGCCTGGACGGCAGTTTACAGTGAACCCGGCCCCGTCCCCTGACTTCTGAAGCAGGAGTCCTGCGTGGCCCCGAAGCCTCCCCGGCGGCCGCACGGCTCCGTCCCCGCTCCGGGGTTCAGCTGAGCCACCTGCTGGAGGCGGCCTGTCCTCGCCGCCCGGCTAAAGCGGCGCCCCTTCCTTTCTCCGGCCGCTCGTTCTTTGGTTTCCAGGGACTTAGCACAATTCATGGCACCCCTCTCAGCCCGGATCCTGCCCGGACCCATCTTCCCCCACATCATCCAGCCCTCGACCCGCGCAGCCGCCTCAGCCCTCCTCTCCCGGCGCCGCCCACGGCCTGTTCTCCGCGCAGCCGCCAGCCGGCGCCCGTGGGCCTGGAGTCGGGCGCGGCCCTGCTCTGCCCACAGCCCGCGGTGGCTCCCACCTCCCGCAGGGCCTGCGCGACCTGCCCCGGGGCCTCCCCGCCCTCACTGCCCTAGCGGGCTGCACTCTCCCCCAACACTCCCCAGGGCTGTTCGACCTCCCCAGCAGCTCCCCGCGCCCTGCCCGCCCCGCTGGCGTCTCTCCCCAGCCCGCTGCAGTCCCCTCGTCAGCTTCCCAAGGGCAGGGGTTGGGTTTTGTTCATTGCAGGGGGCCCAGCACACAGCAGGTGCTTAATACATGCTTGTTGCATGAATGTCCGCGTGCCGTGTCGCCCCCTTAAGGCGGCCCCCCGCGCGCCGGCTCGGCGCCCAGCAAGCCTTGTGTGCGCAGGTGATGTGATGTTTGCTGAATGACTAATGAACCTCAGGCGCGCCAGGCCGGGCTGATTCGGGGGTGGTTCCCAGCTTCCGCAGGGTGACCGTCCGCGGGCAGCGGACCACAACCGCAGGGCGACGCCGCCTCTGGCTCTCCGCGACCCCCGTTCCCCGTGGCATGTCTCGTGCCCCACCCCCAGCGGGCCTCCTCCCCGCCGCCCCGGGCCCCCAGCCTCCGCCGCGTTCGAACTCCCCAGCGCGGTCGGACCCGGACCCTAGCGCCACTTGGCCCACGCGAGTCCGCTCCCCTCTCTCCTATCCCTGGATTTCCCGCCGCCCCTCCGCGGCCTCGGTCCCGCGAGCCTCCCCAGCCCCCGCGAGCACCTCCGGACCGCACGGGACTCCCTCGCCCCTTTCGGGAGGAGCCCCGCCCCGGGCCCGCGGACTGACCCCTCCCGCCCGTCTCCGCGCAGGCGCAGGGCGGTCCCGGCCGCGGCCCGCACCCCAACCCGGGCGGCCGAGGGGCGGGGCGCGGCGGGTCCGGGGCGGCCGCGGCTCCATGGGGCTCCTGGGGCTCCTGAGCCTGCTGCACTCGGCCTTCTTCGGGGACCAGGTAGGGCAGGGTTCGGGCCGCTGGGGAGGGCTCCGGGCTGCGCGGGAACGGGGCGGGGTCCACATTGCGAGAACAGCGGGCGCGGCGGCGGGGGGCGCACGGGGCGAGGGCGCGGAGGCTGCAGAGTCGGGGGTCTAGTGCCGTCGCCGTAGAGACGGTTGCCGAAGAAACCGCCTCGGGAGGCTGGTGGCGCTGGAAGCCCCTCTCTCGCGCCGCTGCGACCCCCACCGCCGGGTCTGCGCAAGCGCAGGACTCGCCCGGCCCAGCCCTCGGCCTCTGCGGGAGACCCTCGGACCCCTCCTCACTGCGCTGACGCCGAGGCTGCGCCTGCTGGGGCGGCGGGGGCGGCGGGGGCGGCTGCGGGGGCATCCTGCGGAAGCTCGGCCCTGCGCAGGGTGGGGGCCTGGACCACGCCCTGCACCTCTTTGGGCCTCAGTTTCCCCTTCTGGGCGCGAGCGTATGGCCTGCTTTGACGTTCGCCGCCGCTGCTGTTCGTATCCGTCCGCTCACGACCCCAGCGCTCCTCTAGCCTCCGGAATCGTCTGAATCTCGCGGCTGTGACATCCCTCATTGAAGGGGAAACTGAGGCTGGGGGGTGCAGCGGGGAGCCCAAGGTCACGCCTGGAGCAGGGCCGGAGCCTCGTTGCGGAGCGTAGGCGCCCGCAACAGAACGCGGGGCGGGGGCCGGGGAGCTGTCCGCGGTGCTGACGGAGACGCACGTTTGCCGACTCGCCGCCGGGGAAACTGAGGCCCGTAGCGGCGGTCACGCTTCAGCGCGCGGCCTGGACTGGCCTACCCGACCCCTCCCCCACCTCCAGTGGCCTCCTCACCGGTCAGGGCCCTGCCCGGCCACCCAGCCCGCGGCGGGCCCGTCTCTATCCTCCAACGATGACTTGGTGCCTTCTCCGTCCCCACCCAGCTCCCAATGGGGGCCGCCCCTGTTTCTGCTTGTAGCCCCTGGCACAGAGGAGGCATCAAGGGGGCGAGGACAGCTCGAGGTCAGACTCAGAAGGCTCAAAGACACTCCAAGAGTGAGCCCTGTGCCAGGCTGCGGACTTGCGGGGGGGTGTCACAGGACAGGGGTGGGGGAGTGAGCATTTGATGGAACTTCCACTTTGGCCTAGCAGCAGTAGGGGGCGTGGAGGATCCCAGGGAGGAGCCTGTGTTGGGGTCTTGGGCTAGGCCCTGCTTTCTGCAATGGGAGAAGGGGGAGGCCTCTCTCAGCCTCCTGAGGTCCTAGGGGACTGTGGGGGGTTCTTGTGGCTCTAAAATGTCTAGTGATGTCTGAGTGTGACTGTGGTTCAAGGATTTACAGGGTCAAGGATTTTAGTGTGGGGGGGGGGGATTCGGGGACAACCTTTTGGAGATTTGGGGCCAAGGGCATCTTGTCTTGGGGTCTCAGCTCGCATGTACCCTCAACCCTCCAGGCCCTGGCCACCCCCAGAGGGATAAGGAGGGAGGCTCAATGTCACTCTGGAGGCTTGGCTGGCACAGGTGAACTCAGGCAACGTGTTCCCTGGCCTAGGCCTCAGTTTCCCCATGTATACAAGAACAGGACTGACCTTGGATCCCCCAAACCCGTGCCTGACAGGGGTCTGGGGAGCTGATACATCTGAAACTAAACAGGAGGTGGGACTTAGTTCCTCTTTGGGGAGAGGCAGGGATGATCCAACCCACCCTCCAGTAAACGAGACTGGAAACTGAGACCAGAATGAGACATGCCCAGGGTGACACAGGGACTTCAAGGCTGAGCTGAAGCCAGGGCCCTGGGCTCTGCATCCCCCACCGCATTCCAGCCTCACCCAGCTCTGCCCTGGCTTGACCTGGTCAAGCCCCACCACGTACCCTACCCCATGGCTCCACCAGACACCCCCTGTGTCCCAAGCAGTCATTGATCTTCCCTCAGCCTGGAACGCCTCTCCTGATCACTGCTGTTCACTTCTCAGGACAACCTTCCAGCCTCCAGAAAAAAAAATCCCCTCTGAGGCAGGCAGATCATGAGGTCAGGAGTTTGAGACCAGCCTGACCAACATGGTGAAACCCCATCTCTATTAAAAATACAAAAATTAGCTGGCATGGTGGCGCGTGCCTGTAATGCCAGCTACTGAGGAGGCTGAGGCAGGAGAATCACTTGAACCCAGGAGGCGGAGGTTGCAGTGAGCTGAGATCGCACCACTGCACTGCAGCCTGGGGGACAGAGCTAGACTCCATCTAAAGAAAAAAAAAAAAAAAAAGAAAGAAAAAAGAAAAGATCCCCTGTGTCTGCCCACTGCATTCCCTCCCCAGACCCAACCAGTAGGGACAGCTGCGTCCAGGTCTGGGGGCTCCTAGACAGCCAGGCCTAAGTGCTCTCAGCCCCTGGCAGTGCTGGCCCAGGACAGGGCCCTCGGGTCTCCAGCTCAAGGCCCAACAGGAAACAGCACGGGTCCTCCCGTGCCTTTGTTCTGCGGGGCATTGAACGCTCAGACCTTCCCACCCTCTCCTGTCATTCCCTGCACCAGCCCTTGCAGAATCTTCCGCCTCCTCCCCATTTTACAGAGGAGGAAACTGAGGGTTGAGCGGCGAATGATTTGCCCTGGCTGCTCAGCCCGGAAAAAAACCACTTCTGGCCCCGGCCGCCTCCCTTTCTGTGCTGTGAGCCTGTGTCCAGAGCAGGAATGGCTGCTCCCAGCTGCAGGTGCGGGCTCTGTGTGTTAAACCTTCAAATGGCCTCCAGGGACCCATGGAGGATCCAGGACACCTGGAGATGGGGACTCCTGCGACCCCTGGCCCTTCCCTCCTCTGGCCTTCGGTCCATGAGGGTGAATTAAGGAGTGCGACCGACCAGGGCAGAGACATATGGTGACAGAGATTGAGAGACAGAGAACAGAGGGGGAGACAGAAAGAGAGAGGGACATGGGGAGCACCAGAGTTACAGGAGGACCTGACGCTCTGCTGGGGAGACAGGGAGAAATGTGGGGAGATGCAGGGTCCCAAGTGCTCCCCAGTAGCCCTGCCCCTCCTCCCCTCTCCCCTCCCCACCAGGCAGGACCCTCAGGGAGCTCCAGCCCGGACCCGAACCCTGTCCCATCCTGGTGCATCTGCACCAGGCCAGGCTGGACCTGTGGGGTGGGGGCAGGCCTGGCCCCAGCCCGGCCACTGCCCTGGAAACCCCTCCTCCGCTAAGATGCTGATGTAACATCCAGGATTTGACGTTTTACTCTCCAATTGTGCAAATCCAGACGCAGGAGGTTTTAAGAGGCCGTTGCACCCTGCAATAAAGTGGGGGACACAGGACTCTTGGTCCTTGGGGTACCCCCTTCCCTCGGGGGTTTCGCCCCCCGCACACACAGCCCCTGAGCCCGCGCGGAGGCCCGACGCCCCGCGGCTGCCACCCGTCTCCGCCCCGGGCCGCCATTGGCTGTTGCCATGGCACCAGCCCGTCTTCCCGCGCCTTCATTGGCTGTCTCGTCCGCATCCCGCATCCCGCATCCTCCCCCGCTCGCGGTGGTCTCTCCCAGCGCTAGGAGCGGCGGCGCCGCCTGCCCAGGCCCGGACCGGGCTTTGTCCGCCCTGGAGCCCCTGCCTGCTCTGCGGAGACCCTGGAGCCGGCGCTCCGAGGCCACCCCGGGCCGGGATTTCCCGTGGGGCCCGCGGAGCTGCGCAGAGGGAGGAGGCCCCGGGCCCGGGCGCCCCGCCAGCCCAGCTGCAAGTAAGCAGGTGTGTGTCCTCGGGGAGGAGGGCAGGGGGCGCGATCCCCGCCTCGCGTGGAGGTTTCCATCCCCGTCTCTCTGCATTGCCCGTCAGCGCAGACTCTGGACCCTCCGTTTCCCTAGGCTGGGGGCTGCAGGGGAAACTGTGTCCCCGGTGAGCTGGGCGTCAGCGTCTCTGCAGCCGGTCCCGCGCACACACCCACTCACGGGCTTCACCATCCGGACCCCCTTGAGGTGATCGGAGGGAGGGATGGGCAGGCCTGCTGTGTGTCTTGGGGGGTGTTGCTGTACCTCTCTGGGCGTCAGTTTCCCTCTCTGGAAAGAGGGGGTTTGGATTAAAGGAGAAAGGCCCCTTTGGGCCTGACATCCCCCACCCCGTGCCTCCCTCCCCTGAAATGCAGCCCACTCAATAAGACCAGCCCCCAGGAGGCTACACGATGCAACCTGGGGGTGAAAGGTAGGCAGAAGAGCTTTGTGGAAGAAGCTGCACTGTGTGGGATTGCAGGACTTAGAAAAGGTGCTGTAGGCAGGGCAACTGCACGTGCAAAGGCCTGAGAGAAGAGAGCCTCCAGCTTCTGAGTGAGTCGCGGTGTACATGGAGGAGTCAGAGCTTATCCTGAGGGCACTGGGGAGCCATGGAAGGTGTTTGAGCATGGGAGAAATGGGATCTAGCTTGTGACATTTAAAACTCCCTCTGGCTGTGCACAGGGGACTGTGGGAGGCCAGGAAGAGGCTGATCAGAATGTCCTGATAGAGGGGTGTCAGGAGCTGGGGTAGGCATGATCCCTCTGGGCAGAGCTTGGAGGAACTAGCTCAGTCTGATGAGGACGCAGAAGTGACCACCAAATGTGGGGAGAAGGAAAGTGTCTGAGACTTGGCTTGGGTCAGCTGAGAAGAGCCAGGTGGGGGAGGCCTGGGTTTGGGGAGCAGGAGGCAGATGTGTGTTACTTTGCACTTCATCTGGTCCTTCCACCTGGCTGGGTATGGGATGGTGACCTCACCTGGAACATGGGGCTTGAGCCAGACTCCAGGGTCCCCCTGCATGTATGTAGCCCCCAAGCCCAGACCGGATCCCCAGTGGAGGCCTGAACAGCTCTGGACACCGTCAGATCAGGGTGGGAGGTGACGGCTGCCAGCCTCTGCCATCTGACTTCCAGTCTCTGTGCCCCTCCCACCCTGCCCTTGGGCACTCCTGCCCTGCAGGTTCCTCAGAGGGGCGGGTCTTGTCGGGCCTCCAACCTGGACTTCCCAGCCCCTCTGGGGCAGCGTCTGGCAGTGCCAAACCTCGGTTCCTAGGGCCTCATTTCTGCCTCTGGGAACAGCCAAATGGTGGTCCCTGAGACTCAGACCAGGAAGGAGCCAGATGACATGGAAAGCCACACACTGGCTCCCCTGAGCAGGCCGGGACAGCCTGACCCTATTCTCCCACCTGGGACTGAGGCCCCACCTCTACTCCTGTCCCAGCCGTGCCCCTAGTGACATCTGGGTGGGAGGGGAGAGGATGAGGGGGCACCTGGGGGTCAGAGAATGAATGACAGGTGAATATATGTGTGTTGCCAGGTGGAGGAGGGAGGGGAGGAACAGGCAGGCCGGACAGGGCCGCTGTGAGGAGGGGGCTCAGGCTGGCAGGGGGAGGTGGCAGAGGGATGGGCTGCCATTGGTACGTCTGAGACAAAGGCGGAGGGAGGAGGCGAGCGCTGACGGGAAAGGAACAAAGAGGGAAGGGGGGCGTGAGGAGGGGCTCCGGCAGGAGGGCCGAGCCGAGGGAGGAGGCACCAGCCAGCTGGACAGAGGGAGGAGGCCAGGCTGGAGCCAGAAGACGGCCAGAGGCACAAAGAAGCTAGTGGCACTGGCAGAGCCACGGGACAGGGCAGGGACTGCCGGGGCCAGCAGGGAGCAGCTGAAGGCTGCGCAGGGGGTGCGGGCCACACAGGTAGCCACCCTGAGCCCAGCCACTGATGGAGGGGGCATGGGGCAGCTGCGGTGATGGTGGTGGGCTTGGGTCCATCTGTCCTGCCATTTCTGCACATCTTAGGTGTCACCCACTGGCCACCATGGTGTCTTTATTGTCCGTCAGCAGAGACAGCTGGTGGTCTGTCCGCCCCGCGTGTCTGGCTGTCAGCCTCTGGGCAGGCTGTGCTTTTGTGGAGGAGGGTCCTGTCTGTCTGTCTGTCGTCCTCTCTGGCTGAGAGCCTGGGGGTGCTGGGCTGGCCAGTTGGCTCGCTGGGTTAGGCTGTCCCAGCTGTCTGTGTGTTTGTCCGGCTGTCAGGATGTGTCCTGGGGGCTGGGAAGGAGAGGCCGTCCCATTGTCTGTCGGTCGACTGGTCAGTTGGAGGTTCAGCTGTCTGTACGTGTGTCTGCTGGCCCCTCTGTCTCCCATTGGGGTCACCTCTCACTCCACCTGCCCCCCTGCGCCCGGGATTCCCTGGCCAGCACCACGTGGGCCTGAACTTGTCCACACCAGTGACTCCTGCCTGAGACCCCCAAACTAGGATCAGGCAGGAGGGCTGGGGCTTAGGTCGGGGGCTGTCCGGAAGGCATCACCGTGCCCTCCCCAGACCCTCAGCTGGACCCTCTGACCCTGTGACCCCAGACGCTGCAGGAGCTGAAGATGGCGAGCTCCGTGGCACCCTACGAGCAGCTGGTGCGGCAGGTGGAAGCCTTGAAGGCCGAGAACAGCCACCTGAGGCAGGAGCTACGGGACAACTCCAGCCACCTGTCCAAGCTGGAGACAGAGACGTCAGGCATGAAGGTGGGGGCCTACATGGAGGAGGTGGGCTAGGGTCCCAGGGGGTGGCCCTCGGCAGCCCAGTGCAGTGGCCAATGCCTCCCTGCCCTCTTTCCTGACCCTGCAGGAGGTCCTGAAGCACCTACAGGGAAAACTGGAGCAGGAGGCCCGAGTGCTGGTGTCCTCGGGGCAGACGGAGGTGCTGGAGCAGTTGAAGGGTGAGCGGTGGGGCCACCCGCAGAGGGAGCGGGAGAGGCTGGGGAAAAGGCAGACAGGACCTCTGACCTCCGCCCTCTCCCCGCCCATCCAGCCCTGCAGATGGACATCACCAGCCTGTACAACCTCAAGTTCCAGCCGCCCGCCCTGGGCCCGGAACCTGCCTCCCGGACCCCCGAGGGCAGCCCGGTACACGGCTCCGGGCCTTCCAAGGACAGCTTTGGGGAGCTGAGCCGGGCCACCATCCGGCTGCTGGAGGAACTGGACCGGGAACGGTGAGCGGGCGTGGGAACCCAGCCTCGGACAGCTGGTGCCTGACTCCATCCCCAGCGGGCTCTGCCCTCTAATTCACCCACCCGCATATGCCTCTGCCCACACCTCACACGCCCCACCCACTTGCATATGGCACCGCCCACCGAACAAACCCCACCCACCTTGAAGCTTCTTCCCCACGTGGCCTCCCTCCCCTTCTCCAGCCCGGCTGACCTTCTCCTGCCCGGCTGACCTCAGCGGGAGTGCAGAGAGGATGGGGGACATTCCTGGCTGAGGGAAAGTCTCCTTGGAGACGTCCCCAGGGGTCTGTGACACTCAGGCATTGCCAGGGACTGGGCCGTGTCCAGTGCCAGGGCTCAGCCAGGCCCGGAGCCAGAGCGGCTCAAAGCAGTCTTTGTAGAGACAGAATTGTGGCCCAAGAAACGTGGGCTCAGGGCCAGCAGAGGGAGGCAGGGTCCGGGCACCGTGTGCAGCTGGGAGGGGTCGTGTGTGGTCAGATGGGGCCATTGAAGAGCAGCATGGAGTTGTCTGTACTCTGCTGCGGGACCTCACTCAGCTCCCCTAAACCCTCCCTGCCCAAGACTCCTGCCCTGTAAAATGGGAATGGCCGTGTCTCCCGTGGGGTTAAGGGAACTCTGTTGTACCTGGTGCTCTTTGAGCCTGAAGCTACCTTATAAGCTGGAGGGAGATTAGCAATTATCTGAGAAGTATAAGAGGCAGAACAGCCTCCCTCAGTCTTTCTTCAAGGAGGAGAATTTCCAAAGGAACTGCTTTCTCTCTTTTTTTGTTTTTGTTTAATACGTCTAGTTTGAGACAGGGTCTCACTCTGTCGACCAGGCTGGAGTGGAGTGGTATGATCATGGCTCAGTGCAGCCTGGACCTCCCGGGTTCAGGTGATTCTCCCACCTCAGTCTCCCATGTCAGGAGAAGCTGGGACCGCGGGTGCCAACCATCATGCCTGGCTAAGTTTTTGTACTTTTTTTTTCCCCCAAGACGGAGTCTCTCTCTGTTGCCCAGGCTGGAGTGCAGTAGCACGATCTCAGATCGTCAAAACCTCTGCCTTCCAGGTTCAAGCGATTCTCCTGCCTCACCCTCCCAAGTAGCTGAGATTACAGGCACGTGCCACCATGCCCGGCTAATGTTTGTATTTTTAGTAGAGACGGGTTTCACCATGTTGGTCAGGCTGGTCTCAATCTCCTCACCTTGTGATCTGCCCGCCTCCCAAAGTGCTGGGATTACAGGCGTGAGCCACCGCACCCAGCCAATTTTTTGTACTTTTTGTAGAGATGGGAGTTTTACTATATTGCCCAGGCTGGTCCTGACCTCCTAGACTTAAGCAAGCAATTTGCCTGCGTCCACCTCTCAAAGTGTTGGGATTACAGGCCTGACCCGCGAGCCACCGCTCCTGGTCTTTATTTATTTATTTATTTATTTATTTATTTATTTATTTATTTATTGAGATATGGTCTCGCTGTCACCCAGGCTGGTGTGTGGTGGTGCAATCACGGCTCACTGCAGTCTCAAGTGATCCTCCCGCCTCAGCCTCCTGAGTAGCTGGGACTAAAGGCACGCGTCACCACGACCGGCTATTTATTATTTTTTGAGACAAAGTTTCCTCCTTGTTGCCCAGGCTGGAGTGCAATGGTGCGATCTCAGCAGCTCACCTGAAACCTCTGCCTCCCAGGTTCAAGGGATTCTCCTGCCTCACCCTCCCAAGTAACTGAGATTACAGGCATACGCCACCACGCCCAGCTAATTTTGTATTTTTAGTAGAGACGGGGTTTCTCCATGTTGGTCAGGCTGGTCTCGAACTCCGACCTCAGGTGATTCTCCCGCCTCAGCCTCCCAAAGTGTTGCGATTACAGGCGTGAGCCAACGGGCCCGGCTGACCAACTGTTTTTTTTTATTTTTTATTTTTATTTTTTCCTTTTTAGAGAGGGAGTCTCGTTATGTTGCCCAGACTGTTTTCTCCCCTTTAATTTTTTGCATCCCCCAATTAATTTCAGTACCCACCCCCGCTTACCTTAGCGCGGGGAGCGCCACGGGAAACATTGCCATGTTGCCTGTTAAACTTGGCATACAGTAAGCGCCAACGAGTACAAATATGAAAATAAACACATATACATGGCTCCGCCCTCTGAGCCCGCCCCCACTGACTTGCTCCCCCAGGTGTTTCCTGCTGAATGAGATTGAGAAGGAGGAGAAGGAGAAGCTCTGGTACTACTCGCAGCTGCAGGGCCTGTCCAAGCGCCTGGACGAGCTGCCGCACGTGGAGACGGTGAGCGGGCCGGGGAGGGAGCGGGCAGCACGCCTGCCCACCTAGGTTTCGGGAAGCAGCGTGGGGAGGAACGGGGCCTGGCCCAGGCGCCCCTCACCGTCGCCCGCCCGCCTGCCTTTCCCAGCAGTTCTCAATGCAGATGGACCTGATCCGGCAGCAACTTGAGTTCGAGGCCCAGCACATCCGCTCGCTGATGGAGGAGCGCTTCGGCACCTCGGACGAGATGGTGCAGCGGGCACAGGTGCGATGGTGGGCGGGGTGGGGCGGTGTGGTGGTAGGTGGGGCCCTGTGCCAGTGGGCAAATCAGAGTGCAGAGATTTACTATGGGCGGGGTCTGAGGTAATGGGAGGAGTCTCATGACTCCTGGGTTGGCGGGTGGCGGGGGTCTGGTTCAGCAGGCGGAGCCAGAAGCTGGAGGTGTTGGTGGGTGGAGTCGGAGGAGTCTCAGAGCAGAGCCTGAGCACAAGGGTGGTGGGGTGGGACAGTGGAAGGTGGCGTGGCCTGTGGGCAAGGCCAGATCAGTGGGTGGGTGGGGTCTAGAAGGATAAGGTCTAGGTTCTGGGTGGAGCCCAAATGGGAAGTGGGAGGAGTCAGAGCCTGGGATGGGCTAGATAAGGGCAGGGTCTAGAAGGATAAGGCGGGGTTAAGACAGTGGGTGGGGTCATAGCTTAGGAGGCAGGGCTTAGGGAGCAGGCAGGGCTGGATCAGGGAGAAGGCAGAGTCAGAGCCCAGGGGCGAAGTCATCCCAGGAAGAGGTGGGGTCAGGGCCTGGGGCGGGGTCACCTCAGGAAGAGTCAGGGTCAGAGCCCCGGGTGGGGTTTTCCCAGGGTGGGGTCGGAGCCGGGGGCGGGGTCAGCCTCAGCTTTCGCCCTCCTGTTGTCCTGAGCAGATCCGCGCCTCGCGGCTGGAGCAGATTGACAAGGAGCTGCTGGAGGCGCAGGACCGAGTGCAGCAGACAGAGCCCCAGGTACCGAATGGGGCAGAGCCAGGGCCCGGGGGTGGTGTCGGCCCTGGCAGAACGGGGCTCCTAGAGTCCTGCTCGCCCCCACCCATATCATCATGGGCGAGCAGGCTGGGTGCTTTTTAGGGTGCTCTGGGACTGTTTCCCCGACCCTGGTCCTCTCCCTGCAGGCCTTGCTGGCGGTGAAGTCTGTGCCGGTGGACGAGGACCCGGAGACAGAGGTCCCCACACACCCTGAGGATGGCACCCCTCAACCGGGCAACAGCAAGGTGAGGGGGAGGGCGGAACGGGGGCAGGTACAGCTGTCTGGGCTGGCAGGGGGATCAGGTCTGCATCCTTGCCAGATGTGGTGCCCTCCCAGGCCTCCATCCAGCACCCCCTTGGGTGTAGGAAGGCCCCCCCTGGCGTGCAGCTTACAGAGAAGCTGGGGACCTGGCGAAGTGGATGGGGAAACACATCCCGTAGCGGGGGGCTGAGTGGGGCACCGTAGGTGTCCCTGTGGAGTCCCTTGGCTGTGTGCTGCCATCCTAGGAATGCTAGGTGAGGGGGGCCAGCCTCCCCGAAGCACGTGTGCAGCCTCCTGGCACCCCCCCCATCCGTCCCCAGTTGTGCGTGGGGTCACAGGGGTCCGACCGGGTTTCCAGGTGTGCGGGGGCAGGTGAGGGACCCCACCCTGACCCTGCCCTCCCCCTAGGTGGAGGTGGTCTTCTGGCTGTTGTCCATGTTGGCGACGCGCGACCAGGAGGATACGGCGCGCACGCTACTGGCCATGTCAAGCTCGCCCGAGAGCTGCGTGGCCATGCGCCGCTCGGGCTGTCTGCCACTGCTGCTGCAAATCCTCCACGGCACTGAGGCGGCGGCCGGGGGTCGCGCCGGGGCCCCAGGAGCACCGGGCGCCAAAGACGCACGCATGCGCGCCAATGCGGCGCTGCACAACATCGTCTTCTCGCAGCCGGACCAGGGCCTGGCGCGCAAGGAGATGCGCGTCCTGCACGTGCTGGAGCAGATCCGTGCCTACTGCGAGACCTGCTGGGACTGGCTGCAGGCCCGAGACGGCGCGCCTGAGGGAGGCGGCGCCAGCGGCGGTGAGTGCCTGGCCTGGTGGGCCTCCTCCGCGCAATTAATGTGCAGCTAGGGCTTCCCGGGGCGTGGGCGACTAGGACCTCCAGCCTTTGCTGCCTGCCTTCTGGAGTTGGAGGCTGCAGTACCAGGCCGAGGCCTGTGCGGGCCTTTGACGTTGGGAGAAGACCCGCCCATGATTGTACCTGGCACAGAGTAAACGCTCCCTAAGTCGTTGAACGCATGGATGGATCGGGGGTAGCTCTCGAAAGCTGGGTGCAGACTCAGAGATTCTTTTTTTGCAGTTGATCGCAAAGTTAATATGGGGGCTGGGGGCCGGGACTCACACCTGTGATCCCAGCACTTTGGGAGCCCGAAGCGGGAGAATTGCTTGAGCCCAGGAATTTGGGGCTGCAGTGAGCCGAGATCATGCTACTGCACTCCAGTCTGGGCAACAGACCGAGACCTTGTCTCATAAATTTTATTTTTATAAAGGGCAGAAGCACAGCTAAAAGGTGTGGTGCTCCAGGAACTACCTCACCTCCCTTCCCAAGGCTGAGTGAGGGAGGCCACCCCGTCATCCCATCTTAGAGAGGCTGGGAAACGCCCCAGCTTTGCAGCCATTTGTAAAGTTCCTGGGATCCTTCAGGCCTAGGGGGTGGGGCGGGGGGAACCTTCCAGAGTCAGCTGGGACATTTCCTGGGAATGGGGGCTCTGATGTGGTCTCTGTGCCCACAGCCCCGGTCCCCATCGAGCCACAGATCTGCCAGGCCACCTGTGCGGTTATGAAGCTGTCCTTTGACGAGGAGTACCGCCGTGCCATGAACGAGCTGGGTGAGTGTCCCAGCTCCTCTGGGGAGCCATCCTCCAGCCCCCGAACAGCTCCTCAACTGCTAAAGGGACAGAGGCTGGGTCATCTGAGCTTGTGTGGTCAGGGTGGGGATTGGAGCCCTATGTGGTGACTTACGTTTGAGGACATTGCAACATCTTCTCTTTGTCAATATGAAAGTAATTGAGGCCGGGTGAGGCTGCTCATACCTGGGAGGCCGAGGTGGGAGGATCACTGGAGCCCAGGAGTTTGAGACCAGGCTGGGCAACAATCATGAGACCCCCATCACTACAAATAAATAAAAAATTAGTCCCAGCTGCTGGGGAGGCTGAGGTGGGAGGATCTCTTGAGCCCAGGAGGTCAAAGGTGCAATGAGCTATGATCATGCCACCACACTCCAGAGTGGGCAACTGAGCCAGACCCTGTCTCAAAAAGAAAAGTCTTGCTATAACATTTTTATTTTTTATTTATTTATTTTTTGAGACAGTCTCACTCTGTTGCCCAGGCTGGAGTGCAGTGGTACAATCTCAGCTCACTGCAACCTCCACCTCCCAAGTAGCTGGGATTACAGGCGCCCGCCACCACAGCTAATTTTTGTAGTTTTAGTAGAGATGGGGTTTCACCATGTTGGTCAGGCTGGTCTCAAACTCCTGACCTCAAGTGATCTGCCCCCACTCAGCCCCCCAAAGTGCTGGCATTGCAGGTGGAACAAGCCACCACACCTGGCCAAAGCCTGGCTCCTTTCTGAGGCTGCGTGACGTCCCATCATGTGACTGGGGCACCCTGGGCGGACCCACTTGTCCTGCTCTGGCTGCTCCCGACTCCTGGCTCTGCACCACGCTGTGTGTGGTGAACCTGGATGTATGTGTTTCGGTCTGGAAGTTTTCTGGGACATGTCCCTAACTCACTTCCCCAAAGGACGTCTCCACTGACTCACCCCTGCCCTGAGAAGTCAGATTTGCCTCTGTTGTCTTTGAAGGGGGAGAAAAGTGTTTTGGTGACAAGTCCTCTTCCCTCTGACTCCCAGGCACCATCTCCCCGTTGATTCCCCCTTTTGTAATGGGAGAGCTGGGCGAGTAAAGAGGGTGGGCGTGACCGTCACCCATCACCACAGCCCTGTCTGTGCTGGGGACGCTGTTCTCCATCTGATGGTCCTGGAGTGGATTATTAGAGGACTCAGGGGCCCTTCCCCGAGGCACCTACCAAACAGGGCAAGGAAGAGCATTCCAGGCTGAGGGAACAGCAGGTGCAGAGGCCCAGCGGCTGGAGGAAGTGTGAGCCAGGGCCGAGGGCTGACAGGAGGCAGGGGTGGCAGTCACAGGGCACTGGGGGTACCCCTGTGGGTCTGGTGGCAGGGTGAGGCCCTACCGGCTCCTGGAGGAGGTCTCAGACTTGAGCCTGGAAGGGGGATTCGAGGAGGACATGTCTGGGGGGTAGGGAGGGCATCTGGGCAAGGGAGGGGGCAGGGCCATCCCTGCCATCCACCAACCTTGTCGGGTCCCCACAGGCGGGCTGCAGGCCGTGGCAGAGCTGCTGCAGGTTGACTATGAGATGCACAAGATGACCCGGGACCCACTGAACCTGGCGCTGCGCCGCTACGCGGGCATGACCCTCACCAACCTCACCTTTGGGGACGTTGCCAACAAGGTGCCCAGGGGCGGTAGGCGGGCGGGACTGGCACTCCCCTCATCCAGTCTTCCAGGGACTGTCTGAGCCTCCTTCCAACTCATCCCAGCCTTGAAACAGCCCTGAGAGCTGGGGCCACTTGTCCCCAACTTGTGGACGGGTAGACTGAGGCCCAGAGACGGGAGCCCATGCTGGACCTCCTCCACCCAGCAGTGTCCTCACACCCGCCCTGATGCTGCCTCTGCAGAAAATGGCCCTCATTGTAGAGGGGGCCCCGAGGCTGGGTGTCTGCCCCTGTCTGGGCCTCAGTCTCCCGACCTGAGCATGGGGTCACCCTCCCATGGTGGTCAGGATCAGCAGGGCTTCGGGTTTGCAGCTGCAGCACAGACGGGGCTGGGAGGTGAGGGGCGCCGTCTCCCTCCTGCCCCACCCCGTGACCGTGGCTGCATCACCCCCAACAGGCCACCCTGTGTGCGCGCCGGGGCTGCATGGAGGCCATCGTGGCCCAGCTGGCCTCGGACAGTGAGGAGCTCCACCAGGTACGGGACAGGGTGCTGGGGACAGCCTTCCAGGGCGTCCCTGACAGGCAGAGGCCCCTCCCCAGGGGTGTGGTGGGCTGGCGGGGGGGTCCCGTCCCACTCTGCAGCCTCACACTTGCTAGGGGTTTTGGGGGGCCTAGACCCTAGTCCCACCACACCTGCCCCTCACCCCACGCAGGTGGTGTCCAGCATCCTTCGGAACTTGTCCTGGAGGGCCGACATCAACAGCAAGAAGGTGCTGAGGGAGGCAGGCAGCGTGACAGCCCTGGTGCAGTGTGTCCTGCGGGCCACCAAGGTGGGCACCCGGCGGGCAGCAGGGATGGTTCTTCAGTCACTGGAAGGAGACGCTGGCGGCAGCGGGCGAGCTCTCCGACTTGGGAAGAAATCAAGTTGTTAGTGCTTAGCAGGTGGTCCAGCCTCAGACCGGCTGGGGCTCACTCCTCATGTCACTGCTCTTTGAAAGCAAGTGTGGGCCAGGCGCGGTGGCTCACTTGAGGTCAAGAGTTCGAGCCCAGTCTGGCCAACAGGGTCAAATCCCATCTCTACCAAAAAAAAAAAAAAAAAAAAAAAAAATAGCCGGGCGTCGTGGCACGTGCCTGTTAATCCCAGCTACTCAGGAGGCTGAGGCAGGAGAATCGCTTGAACGTGGGAGGCGGAGGTTGTGCCACTGCACTCCAGCCTGTGCCACAGAGCAATACTGCATCTCAAAAAAAAAACCACCTCTCAGGGTGCGGTGGCTCAAGCCTGTAATCCCAGCACTTCGGGATTAGCCAGGAGATCGAGACCATCCTGGCTAACACGGTGAAACCCTGTCTCCACTAAAAAATACAAAAAACTAGCCGAGCGAGGTGGCGCCGCCTGTAGTCCCAGCTACTCGGGAGGCGGAGGCAGGAGAATGGCGTGAACCCGGGAGGCGGAGCTTGCAGTGAGCTGAGATCCGGCCACTGCACTCCAGCCTGGGCGACAGAGCGAGACTCCGTCTCAAAAAAAAAAAAAACAAACCACCTCACTGAACGTGAGTGTGGGAGCCTTTCTTCCTGGCCTACTCAGGCCCTGACCAGCCCCTCTCCCGCCCCTCATCCAGGAGTCCACCCTCAAGAGTGTGCTGAGTGCCCTGTGGAATCTGTCTGCACACAGCACGGAGAACAAAGCGGCCATCTGCCAGGTGGACGGCGCCCTGGGCTTCCTGGTGAGCACCCTGACCTACAAGTGCCAGAGCAACTCGCTGGCCATCATCGAGAGCGGCGGCGGCATCCTCCGCAACGTGTCCAGCCTCATCGCCACCCGTGAGGACTACAGGTCAGCCCCCACCCCCCTACCCGCACACAGGCAGCTGCACTCGGGGCGGGCGCCGGGGATCTGGGCTGGGCACTGTCCTCCCGTGAACAAATGCTCCCAAGGCTTCCCCCGGGGCTGCTATTTGCAGCATAAATATGTCCCAAATACTGCGTGAGATATACTAAAATGCAGATTTATTACATTAAAAATTACTTCAGGCCAGGCGCAGTGACTCACACCTGTAATCCCAGCACTTTGGGAGGCCGAGGTAGGCGGATCACCTGAGGCCGAGAGTTCAAGACCAGCCTGACCAACATGGAGAAACCCGGTCCCTACTAAAAATATAAAATTAGCCAGGTGTGGTGGCGCACACCTGTAATCCCAGCTACTCGGGAGGCTGAGGCAGGAGAATCGTTTGGACCCAGGAGGCAGAGGTTGCGGTGAGCTGAGATTGCGCCACTGCACTCCAGCCTTGGCAACAAGAGTGAAACTCCAGCTCAAAAAAAAAAAAAAAAAAAAAAAAAAAATTCAGGCAGCCAGGCACGGTGGCTTACGCCTGTAATCCCAGCACTTTAGGAGGCCGAGGCAGGCGGATCACGACGAGGTCAGGAGATCGAGACCATCCTAGCTAATACAGTGAAACGCCATCTCTACTAAAAACACAAAAAATTAGCTGGGCGTGGTGGTGGGCGCCTGAAGTCCCAGCTACTCGGGATGAGGCAGGAGAATGGCATGAACCCAGTAGGCGGAGGTTGCAGTGAGCTGAGATCGCGCCACTGCACTCCAGCCCAGGCAACAGAGCATGATTCTGTCTCAAAAAAAAAAAATTACATCAGGCTGGGCTTAGTCCCTCATACCTGGAATCTCAGCACTTTGGGAGGCCGAGGCAGGCGGATCACCTGAGGTCAGGAGTTCGAGACCAGCCTGAATATCATGGAGAAAACCATCTCTACTAAAAATATAAAATTAGGCAGGTGTGGGCCGGGCGCGGTGGCTCACGCCTGTCATCCCACTGGGAGGCCGAGATGGGTGGATCACAAAGTCAGGAGATCCAGACCATCCTGGCTAACATGGTGAAACCCTGTCTCTACTACAAATACAAAAAAATTAGCTGGGCATGGTGGCGGGCACCTGTGGTCCCAGCTACTCGGGAGGCTGAGGCAGGAGAATGACAGGAACCCGGGAGGCGGAGCTTGCAGTGAGCCGAGATCGCGCCACGGCACTCCAGCCTGGGCAACAAGAGCAAAACTCTGTCTCAAAAAAGAAAGAAAGGAAAGAAAGAAAAAAACTTTGCTGGGCTTGGCATCCACCTGTAGTTCCAGCTACTGAGGGGGCTGAGGTGGAAGGATCACTTGAGCACAGGAGGTGGAGGCCGCAGTGAGCTGTGATTGCGCTACTGCACTCCAGCCTGGGTGATGGGAGTGAGACCCTGTCTCAGATTTATTTTAAATCATGTTAATATAACTGTCTTCATTAAAGTATTTGCCAAACAATAAAGAGTACTTATTCATAAAAATAAATAATATTTTTAATTGAAATACATCCCAAATACGCATAGGATATACTAATACTAAAAATTAACTTACTGGCTGGGCACGGTGGCTCATGCCTGTAATCCCAGCACTTTGGGAAGCCGAGCTAGGCGGATCACCTGAGGTCAGGAGTTTAAGACCAGCCTGGCCAACATGGTGAAACTCCATCTCTACTAAAAGCACAAAAATTAGCCAGGCGGGGTGGTGGGCGCCTATAATCCCAGCTACTTGGGAGGCTGAGGCAGGAGAATCACTTGAACCCAGGAAGTGGAGGTTGCAGTGAGCTGAGATCATACCACTGCACTCCAGCCTGGACAACAGAGCAAGACCCTGTCTCAAAAAAACACAAAACAAAATACAAAAATTAGTCAGACGTGGTGGTGGGCGCCTATAATCCCAGCTACTCAGGAGACTGAGGCAGGAGAATCACTTGCACCCTGGAGGTGGAGGTTCCAGTGAGCCGAGATCACACCACTGCACTCCAGCCTGGGCAACAAGAGTGAAACTCCATCTCAGGAAAAAAAAAAAAAAAAATTATCAAAATAAAAATGTTGTTAAATAAGTAACATTAAAATAAAAACATTTACATGTTATTTATGAAAACACAAAGTATTATTTTTACCTGGTCATCGTGGCTCATGCCTGTGGAATCCCAGCACTTTGGGAGGCTGAGGCAGGAAGATTGCTTGAGCCCAGGAGTTGGAGGCTGCAGTGAGCCATGAATGCACCACTGCACTCCAGCCTGGATGACAGAGCGAGACTCTCAAAAAAAAAAAAAAAAAAGATATAGACAGAATCTAAGTATATCCCAGATATCATATAGGATATATTCATGCTGTTTTTCACTTTTTTTTTTTTTTTTTTTTGGAGATGGAGTCTTGCTCTCTCGCCAGGCTGGAGTGCAGTGGCACGATCTTGGCTCACCGCAACCTCTGCCTCCCGGGTTCAAGCAGTACTCGTGCCTCAGACTCCTGGATGGCTGGGATTACAGGTGCCTGCCACCACACCCAGCTAATTTTTGTATTTTTAAAAGAGACAGGGTTTCACCATGTTGGCCAGGATGGTCTCCATCTCCTGACCTCAGGTGATCCACCCCACAAGGCCTCCCAAAGTGCCGGGATTACAGGCGTGAGCCACTGCCCCGGCCTACTTTTTTTTTTTTTTTTTTTTAAACTCCATCTCAAAAAAATAAAAATAAAAAAATTTACTTTTAGTCTGTCTCATGCAATCTTTGGGACATATACCAAAAATTAGCCTTTCCGAGATCCAAACCTAACCAGATGGGTTCGCTTTTACCTGCCACATCTGGCCTCCCCACCCTTGGGTGAGCAGGGGAGGGTGAGGGGTGGCCCAGGCTAACCCGCCCTGTGCCCACAGGCAGGTGCTCCGGGATCACAACTGTCTGCAGACGCTGTTGCAGCATCTGACCTCGCACAGCCTGACGATCGTGAGCAACGCATGCGGCACACTCTGGAACCTATCAGCCCGCAGCGCGCGAGACCAGGAGCTGCTGTGGGACCTGGGCGCCGTGGGCATGCTGCGCAATCTGGTGCACTCCAAACACAAGATGATCGCCATGGGCAGCGCCGCCGCCCTGCGCAACCTGCTGGCCCACCGACCTGCCAAGCACCAGGCGGCCGCCACCGCCGTGTCCCCAGGCAGCTGCGTGCCCAGCCTGTATGTGCGCAAGCAGCGGGCGCTGGAGGCCGAGCTGGACGCACGGCACCTGGCGCAGGCGCTGGAGCACCTGGAGAAGCACCGCCCGCCGGCAGCTGAGGCCACCACCAAGAAGCCGCTGCCGCCCCTGCGACACCTGGACGGCCTGGCCCAAGACTATGCTTCCGATTCTGGCTGCTTTGACGACGACGATGCACCGTCATCCCTGGCCGCGGCCGCGGCCACCGGGGAGCCAGCCAGCCCTGCCGCGTTGTCCCTCTTCCTGGGCAGCCCCTTCCTGCAGGGGCAGGCGCTGGCCCGCACCCCGCCCACCCGCCGAGGCGGCAAGGAGGCAGAGAAGGACGCCAGTGGGGAGGCGGCCGTGGCGGCCAAGGCCAAGGCCAAGCTGGCGCTTGCAGTGGCGCGCATCGACCAGCTGGTGGAGGACATCTCCGCCCTGCATACCTCGTCCGACGATAGCTTCAGCCTCAGCTCTGGAGACCCGGGGCAGGAGGCGCCACGGGAGGGCCGAGCCCAGTCCTGCTCCCCATGCCGCGGCCCAGAAGGCGGGCGGCGAGAGGCAGGAAGCCGGGCGCACCCGCTGCTGCGGCTCAAGGCGGCCCACGCCAGCCTCTCCAACGACAGCCTCAACAGTGGCAGTGCCAGCGATGGGTACTGCCCACGCGAACACATGCTGCCCTGCCCGCTGGCCGCACTGGCTTCGCGCCGCGAGGACCCCAGGTGTGGGCAGCCTCGGCCCAGCCGGCTTGACCTTGACCTGCCAGGCAGCCAGGCCGAGCCGCCTGCCCGTGAAGCCACATCCGCCGACGCCCGCGTGCGTACCATCAAGCTGTCACCTACCTACCAGCACGTGCCACTGCTCGAGGGTGCCTCAAGGGCAGGTGCAGAGCCCCTCGCGGGGCCTGGAACCTCTCCAGGGGCCCGGAAGCAGGCCTGGCTGCCAGCAGACCACCTGAGCAAAGTTCCTGAGAAGCTAGCAGCCGCCCCGCTGTCCGTGGCCAGCAAGGCACTGCAGAAGCTGGTGGCGCAGGAGGGACCGCTCTCGTTGTCCCGATGCAGCTCCCTTTCCTCACTGTCCTCTGCCGGCCGCCCAGGCCCCAGCGAGGGCGGTGACCTGGATGACACTGACTCCTCTCTGGAGGGGCTGGAGGAGGCGGGCCCCGGCGAGGCTGAGCTGGACAGCGTGTGGCGCGCACCAGGGGCCACCTCGCTGCCCGTAGCCATTCCGGCTCCCCGGCGCAACCGAGGCCGGGGCCTGGGGGTGGAGGACGCCACGCCGTCCAGCTCTTCAGAGAACTACGTGCAGGAGACACCGCTGGTGCTGAGCCGCTGCAGCTCTGTGAGCTCGCTGGGTAGCTTCGAGAGCCCGTCCATTGCCAGCTCCATCCCCAGTGACCCTTGCAGCGGGCAGGGCAGCGGCACCATCAGCCCTAGCGAACTGCCCGACAGCCCCGGGCAGACCATGCCTCCCAGCCGGAGCAAGACGCCGCCGCTAGCGCCTGCGCCACAGGGTCCCCCCGAGGCCAGCCAGTTCAGCCTGCAGTGGGAGAGCTACGTGAAGCGCTTCCTGGACATCGCCGACTGCCGAGAGCGCTGCCGGCTGCCGTCTGAGCTGGACGCAGGCAGCGTGCGCTTCACCGTGGAGAAGCCGGATGAGAACTTCTCGTGCGCCTCGAGCCTCAGCGCGCTGGCTTTGCACGAGCACTACGTGCAGCAGGACGTGGAGCTGCGGCTGCTGCCCTCGGCCTGCCCAGAGCGCGGCGGGGGCACAGGGGGCGCCGGCCTCCACTTTGCAGGGCACCGGCGACGGGAGGAGGGGCCAGCGCCCACGGGTTCTCGCCCCCGCGGTGCCGCGGACCAGGAGTTGGAGCTGCTGCGGGAGTGCCTGGGGGCCGCCGTGCCTGCCAGGCTGCGCAAGGTGGCCTCGGCGCTGGTGCCAGGTCGCCGCGCGCTCCCCGTGCCCGTCTACATGTTGGTGCCCGCCCCTGCCCCTGCCCAGGAGGACGACTCCTGCACTGACTCCGCGGAGGGCACGCCAGTCAACTTCTCCAGCGCCGCCTCCCTCAGCGACGAGACACTGCAGGGACCCCCCAGGGACCAGCCCGGGGGACCAGACGGCAGGCAAAGACCCACCGGCCGCCCCACCTCTGCCAGGCAGACTGTGGGGCACCGGCACAAGGCGGGAGGCGCCGGCCGCAGCGTGGAGCAGGCTCGGGGCACCGGCAAGAACCGAGCAGGGCTGGAGCTACCCCTGGGCCGGCCCCCGAGCGCCCCCGCAGACAAGGACGACTCGAAGCCCAGCCGGACCCGTGGGGATGGAGCGCTCCAGTCGCTGTGCCTCACAACACCCACCGAGGAGGCCGTGTACTGCTTCTACGGCAACGACTCGGACGAGGAGCCCCCGGCAGCTGCGCCCACGCCCACCCACCGGCGCACATCGGCCATCCCCCGCGCTCTTACCCGCGAGCGCCTGCAGGGTCGGAAGGAGGCCCCTGCCCCGTCCAAGGCCGCACCATCCGCCCCGCCGCCCGCCCGGGCCCAGCCTAGCCTCATTGCTGACGAGACCCCGCCGTGCTACTCCCTGAGCTCCTCCGCCAGCTCCCTCAGCGAGCCCGAGCCCCCGGAGCCGCCCTCCGTCAGTCCACGAGGCCGGGAGCCCGCGGTCACCAAGGACCCGGGCCCGGGAGGCGGACGCGACAGCTCGCCCAGCCCGCGGGCCGCGGAGGAGCTTCTGCAGCGGTGCATCAGCTCGGCCCTGCCCAGGCGCCGGCCCCCCGTGTCCGGCTTGCGGCGCCGCAAGCCCCGAGCCACCCGGCTGGATGAGCGGCCTGCGGAGGGGTCCCGGGAGCACGGCGAGGAGGCAGCGGGCTCGGACCGGGCCTCTGACCTGGACAGCGTGGAGTGGCGCGCCATCCAGGAGGGCGCCAACTCCATCGTCACGTGGCTGCACCAGGCAGCAGCTGCCACGCGCGAGGCCTCATCCGAGTCCGACTCCATCCTGTCCTTTGTATCCGGGCTGTCAGTGGGGTCTACCCTACAGCCCCCCAAACACAGGAAGGGACGACAGGCGGGGGGCGAAATGGGCAGTGCCCGGCGGCCAGAGAAACGGGGCGCAGCCTCAGCCAAGACCAGCGGGAGCCCCCGTTCCCCTGCAGGCCCGGAGAAGTCACGTGGCACACAGAAGACCACGCCCGGGGTGCCAGCTGTGCTCCGGGGACGAACAGTGATCTATGTGCCCAGTCCGGCACCTCGTGCCCAGCCCAAAGGGACCCCCGGCCCCCGCGTCACACCGCGGAAGGTGGTGCCCCCTTGCCTGGCACAGTCCGCAGCTCCAGCCAAAGTCCCCAGCCCCGGACAGCAGCGGTCGCGGAGCCTACACCGGCCTGGCAAGACCTCGGAGCTGGCGACGCTGAGCCAGCCCCCCAGGAGCGCTACACCGCCCGCCCGCCTCGCCAAGACCCCCTCCTCCAGCTCCTCCCAGACCTCGCCTGCCTCCCAGCCCCTGCCCAGAAAGCGCCCCCTGGTCACCCAGGCTGCAGGGCCCCTGCCCGGCCCCGGGGCCTCCCCAGTGCCCAAGACGCCGGCGCGCACCCTTCTGGCGAAGCAGCACAAGACGCAGAGGTCACCCGTGCGTATCCCGTTCATGCAGAAGCCGGCCCGGCGGGGGCCGCCCCCGCTGGCTCGGGCAGTCCCGGAGCCAGGCCCCAGGGGCCGGGCGGGGACCGAGGCTGGCCCGGGGGCCCGCGGTGGCCGCCTGGGCCTGGTGCGCGTGGCCTCGGCCCTCTCCAGCGGCAGCGAGTCCTCCGACCGCTCAGGCTTCCGGCGACAGCTGACCTTCATCAAGGAGTCACCGGGCTTGCGGCGCCGCCGCTCCGAGCTATCCTCGGCCGAGTCTGCGGCCTCTGCCCCCCAGGGCACCTCGCCCCGCCGCGGCCGGCCCGCGCTGCCCGCCGTCTTCCTCTGCTCCTCGCGCTGCGAAGAGCTCCGAGCGGCACCCCGGCAGGCCCCGGCCCGGCAGCGGCCCCCCGCGGCCCGACCTGGCCCCGGCGAGCGCCCTGCCCGGCGCACCAGCTCCGAGAGCCCGTCCCGCCTGCCCGTGCGCGCGCCTGCCGCCCGGCCCGAGACCGTGAAGCGCTACGCGTCGCTGCCGCACATCAGCGTGGCCCGCAGACCCGACGGCGCCGTCCCGGCTGCCCCAGCCCCAGCCGACGCCGCGCGCCGCAGCAGCGACGGAGAGCCCCGGTCCCTCCCCAGGGTGGCTGCGCCGGGCACGACGTGGCGGCGCATCCGGGACGAGGATGTGCCCCACATCCTGCGCAGCACGCTGCCCGCCACGGCCCTGCCACTGCGGGGCTCCACGCCCGAGGACGCCCCGGCCGGGCCCCCGCCGCGCAAGACCAGCGACGCCGTGGTCCAGACCGAGGAGGTCGCCGCCCCCAAGACCAACTCCAGCACGTCCCCGAGCCTGGAGAGCAGGGAGCCCCCCGGGGCCCCCGCTGGCGGCCAGCTCTCCCTCCTTGGCAGCGACGTGGACGGGCCTAGCCTCGCCAAGGCTCCCATCTCCGCACCCTTCGTGCACGAGGGCCTGGGGATCGCCGTAGGGGGCTTCCCCGCCAGCCGGCACGGCTCCCCCAGCCGCTCAGCCCGAGTACCCCCCTTCAACTATGTGCCCAGCCCCATGGTGGTCGCAGCCACCACCGACTCGGCCGCGGAGAAAGCCCCGGCCACCTCCTCCGCCACCCTCCTGGAATAGTGGCCTAGGCCGGCCTTCTGGAACTTTCTCTCCCGGCCTTGCGGCCGGGTCTGGCTGCCCCATGGGCCTGCGCTGTAGATGTTCCCCGTAGGTCGCCCCAGGGCCTCTGCCCACCTGAGCCCCACCACCCTCAGAGCCCCCGCTCAGTGCACTGCGGCCTTGCGCCTCACCGGAAGACCTTGCCTCTGTATCGCGGGGGTCCAGGAGGAAACGGGGCGGCCGCTGGGCCTCAAGTCCCGGCCGTGGAGCGCTGGTAAGGGCGCCCGGGCCCAGCGCTGAGCGCGCGGCCCTTCCCCTGTCGGGAGCCGTTGCCTGACCCCGGGCGAGGGAGGCGGCAGCCTTCGGGTCCGGGTCTGGGTCCGCTGCTTCGCAGGGGCAGCGCTGGGGAGGTGACGGCGCCCGCCGCAGGTGGGGCGAGGCTCGCGGAGGGCGGCGCCACGGCGGGCCTGCCAGCTGGGGGCCTCCGCAGCGCGGAGGGGCGAAACCTGTAATCACGGCAGCCGCGGGTAATTCGCTAATGAGGGCTTTGCAGGGTTTGTTTTCATTCTCAGCCCCAGCTGTGGGAGTGCGAGGTGGGGGTGTGGCCGATCCCCGGCAGGAAGCCCCGCCCCGACGGTGTTCAGGGAACCCGGAGCCCAAGCGCCCGGCGGAGCCCAAAAGGGTGGGGGTGGGAGGGGCAGGGGCCAACGGATCCCCCTGCCTGCTGCACCCCTTGGCGGAAGACTGGAAGGCAGCGGGCTGCGCACGATGGGACCCTGGTGCAGACGCCGGGTCGGCTGACATTTGGACCCCAGCCCAGAGATGCTGGCTACCAGCTGGGGCGACCCCAAGGGTCGGTGGAGTCAGGATCGGCCCGGCCCAGCCGCGGCAGGCGAGGTCAATGGAAAGAAGACTGAGGGGAGTCCCGGCCGTGAGCCCGAGGCCCTGGGACCTGGAGGCCGCGCTGGTCTCTCCCCAGCGGAGCCTGCACGTTAGGGAGACCATCACATGTGGGCGTGGTCAGTGCCCAGGACTGCACTGCTGCTGATCTTGTCCCTTTTCAATTCCCTTCTGGTTCATGATGCATAAAGTGCTAGACCCTAGGACTCCAGAGACAGCACAGCTGGGGCGGGGACGGCAGGGACCCAGCCTTGCCTTCCACTCGGGGCTCTGGGACAAGGCCGGAGGTCCGGGAGGCGAACACAGGGCTGGGGAGTACTTAGTGCCAGATGAGGTGAAAGCTGACAGAGGGGCCTGGGGGGCTTGGCTGCCTCATCCCCTGGCCGGGGAGGATGGGAGCTGGGTCTCCTGCGTGGGGTGGGACTCGCAGGGGCCAGGGCTCTGGGACTGGGGCAACGCCTCATCCTGCAGAGAGAGCCGACGACCTCTTTTCTGCAGAATCCCAGCTCGGGCAGGTGCTGCCTTCACACACGAATCTGCCCAGGCCGAGGGGGCACACTCACTGCCCAAGGTGCCTTCTCGGGGAGGAGGGAAGCGGGGTTTGAGGGTTGGGTGGGTGGAGCTCAGAAGGAAACCCCAGCCCCATCACGGATACCACCATCCCTCCCGTCCTGTCCCCAGCATGTGCAAGGCCAGCCTTTCTGGCAGAAGGAGCTGTCCTCAACTCAGGGTCACTGTGAGAGAAGCTGACCCCAGCCCCCACCCCCAGTTAACGCTGCTGCTTCTCTGAATGCATGTCATGTTGCACCCCATGCTCTGGGCCCGCGCCCTGCAGGATGAGGAACTCCGGGGAGGGCGTCTCGTGCTGGAGGTGCCCAATGCTCCCTCCTAGGACCTCGCAGCCAGGCGAGGCTGTCAGGCTGTTTTGGGGGGAAGTGGGGGTCATGGGTGGCTGAGCAGAGCGCGGGGAGTATGCAGGCTGAGTGGGGCGACCTCCTGCCTGCCAGGAGCCCCCTTTCAGGACCCAGCGGGGATCTCACACTTGCTGTCCCCATCCATGGCCTGAGGGGGAGCCTGGTGGTCTCTTCCGGGCTTCTGGACTTGGGGATGCCAAACACGTGCTCACCCTCATGCTTGCCCTGGCCAGCTGCACCTCTCATCGTCAAGGGGTAGGGCACAGACAGCCACTAGGTCGCTGGTGACAGGGCCAGGGTTGTGCAAGGAGGTGCAGCACTGCCTTCCACACACGGTAAGGCTCTGGGCGGTGCTCTCCCGGCTCCCTGCCTCTGTTTCCCCATGTGGGCCGTGGGGAACTCCCAGAGCTACCTCTGGGGGGAGCACGGTGGCAGCGATGATGGGGAGACACCTGGTGCTGCTCACAGAACTTGGGTCTGGCCGGCCTCTGCCCGTGCCGCCTTGCCCAGCAGCAGCGAGTGCAATCTGGCCACCGGCCCCGCCCGCCACCCCGAGTCCTGAGCTCACTTTCGCCTTCTCCATCCCCTGCCGCGGGGGCCACAGCCACACCTCACTGCCCAGTCCAGCTGTCTCCAGGAGAGGACAGGCAGTTGGTGGCCTCTGGACAATTGACTCAAGGTATGCCCACCGCGGCCCCTGCCTGGCCACCGGCCTCTCTGCACCAGGGTGACAAGGGGTCGTCTGCCCCGACACTCCAGGGCCAGAGTCCTAAGGAACTGAGGGTCTGAGGACGCAGGGAGGGTGGCAGTGTCCTGAGGCTGATGGACGGTGACCGCCACTGGCCCCCAACACCACCACACGTGGGTGCTGAACTCGGGCTGCCGTGCCCACCGGCGTGGTCGTCCCGAGCTCTGACAGCATTACCTCACCCCGCCCCATCTGTTGCCCCAGTCCAGCCTCGACGATGCACGCCTGGTCTGTCTCGGATTCCCCTAGCTGCCACCCCACGTTTCTGTACCGGGTCTCTGAGTGTTAAACGAATGTGTAAATAGTAACAGCCTGTCCTCCCCTAAATGTAAAGCCATCTGTCCAGCGTAAGGACACCATCAGCTGTCCGACTCCCGCGCACATTTAATAAACTGAGCTGTTGAATTGCCTGCCGCCATCACCCGTTCCTCAAATGGGCTGCGGGCGGGGCGGGTTAATCGCCGTCTATGTGCTGCGGCAGATTTGCTGAGGAGACCGCCCAGGTTAGACCCCTGGAAGCACAGCCAGAAAGCAGACACTGGGGGCACCCCACCCAGATGGGCACGGGGGCACTGGGTGAGGCCAGGAGTCTCCCCCTGGTCCCGAGGGAGGGCGGGCTCCAGGGGGTCCAACCTGGGTGTTGGTACCTGGGCCAGTTATTATGGCAGGCCCCAGTGTGGGGCAGGAGGCATCCATGAGCAACTAGGAGCTGGGACAGCACCACGTCAAAGTCACTTCAGGGAGCACAGCCCTGGCCCAGCGCAGGGAGAGGAAAGCTTTGATTGCAAGCAGCAGACAAGTGCAGGGCGGCAAGGGATGGCAGGAGCTGCCCCTCCCCACCTTCCACCCTGAGATCCTGCCAGGACACCCCTCGGCCAGGTGAGCAGCCTCAGAAGAGTGACCAGTGAGAAGTCCCCCAGGGCCCAGGCCGGCTAGCCAAGTCCCTGTTTCCGGATGAGGCGCCTCCCAGGCTGTGTGTGGCAGGCCCCCTTTCTTCAGGGAATAAGAAACATCTTCCACATTCCAGAAACAAAGCTGGCTGTGGGTCTGGAGAGAGGGTGAGGCAGCCCCAGGTCTCTGAGTCAGGCAGACGATCCCTGCACGCGGCGCTGGGCAGGACTGAGCAGGGTTCCCAGGGTCGCCAGTGCTCATCCCTCCCCAGCTTCCAGAGCCCCGGGAAGGGGCCACTCACAGAGGCACCAATCAGACCGCCAGACACACACGAAGGGGTTTATGTTCGGGGCCCAGGTTTCCACTCGAGTTGGTATCTAGGATGAAAAGCCCTTCGCAAGTCCCTCCGCCACCCTAATGCCCCTTCCCTCGGGGCCAGAACCGCAGGGAACCAGACCCAGGACCTGCTCCGGCCAGAGGGTGGCTGTGAGGCCCAGGACACCCTGGGCTCCAGGCCGGTGACTCACAGCAGTCCTCCAGCAAGGGCAGTGGCTGGGAGACACCTGTGCCGTGGAGCTGGGCCCAGCCTGGCAGGGTCTCAGGGCTGCTTGAGTGACCCCAGCAGCCCAGGGTCGTTGTGAAGATCAACGTGGCTTGTGGGAGGAGCCCAGAGCCCGGAAGGAAGTGGGGTCAGGGGCTCGTGCTGGCCCCCAGGCTGCTCTGACATCGGGTGGGCACTCGCTGGATGGAATCACAGTTAACACCTCAATCCCGACACCTGGACTCAGAAGTGGGCAGGCGAGTGCCTGCCCCCAGGAGGAAGGAGGTGGCGCCTGCTTCCAGGGGCCCCACCACAGAGCATGGCCACCGTGAGCCGAGGACAGAATCGCAGCAGAGCCGTAAGGTCCTTATCCTTTTCCACACCCCAGCGGGCCCTCAGGTCACCAAGGACAGAGCCAGCTGGGTGGGTCCCACCAACGTGGCATGAATGGGACGACAGATGAACCGCAGCCCCAGCACCAGGAGGGGTGCCTGTGTCAGACACCCACGCAGGCTGGGACCCCGTGAATGCGTCTGGTGCCGAGGGACCCCTAGGGAAAGCCCGGGCGCAGGCCACCTCGTGCGCTGCCCAGGCCTGCAGACCCTGAGAGGTCAGCTTGAGGAGGCAGCCTCCGCCGCCGGTAGTGCTGCCTGCTTCATCTGGGCCACCTCCCGCTCCAGGTCCTCGCCAGCTCGCCGCAGGAGCTCACACCTCTGCCTCAGCGCGTCGCCTGCTTGCTGCAGCCGCTGGTTGGCAGCCACGTAGGCCCGGCTCTGCTGGTAGAGCTGCTCTCCTGGGGCCTCTGCATCCTCCATCATCCTGAAGGGAACTGGGGGGTCTGGGATAGAATACAGCAGCATCACTGCCTGTTGACCAGGGAACCCCCCGGAGGGCAGCCTCCTGGGCACACCTCACTACTGCCCCCAAAGGGCAGGGTTCCCTGCAGTCCCAGTGTGAGCTGCCGGCCGGGGTCTTTTTAAGATGACGAAAGCAGCCAGGTGTGGTGGCTCACACCTGTAATCCCAACACTTTGGGAGGCCGAGGCGAGAGGAACACTTGAGCCTAGGAGTTAGAGACCAGCCTGGACAACATAGTGAGATCCCCATCTCTCCCAAAAAATAAAAATACAAAAATTAGCTGGGCATGGTAGCATGCACCTGTGGTCCCTACTTCTCTGGAGGCAGAGGTGGGAGGATTGCTTGAGCCTGGGAGGCCGAGGCCACAGTAAGCTATGATTGTGCCATGGCACTCCAGCCTGGGTGACAGGATCTCATTAGATCCTGTCTCATTAAATAAATAAATACATACATATCAAATAATGGAGGCTTCCTGGCCCATCAGCTGGGAGAGGCATAGTGACCGGCTGGCAGGAGGGGCTTCCAGCTCTAGGCTACCCACCTTAGCAAAGCGTGTGACCAGAGGGATCGGGTCACAGAAAGAGCTGAGCCTGGCCAGCAGTGACCCTCCTGGGGGTGGGGCTTCCATTCCTGCAAAAGCTGTGGCACCCACCTGGATGGGCTCCACTGAGCCGGCCTGGCTCTCATTCCTGCTCTCACTGGAAGCCAGAGACGCAACAAGTCCGCCACCGAAGACCTCTCCAGGGGCCGTGCAACCTCATGGAGCCCACACTTAGTGAGGCGGGGTGGCAAAGGTGAGAGGTGGGCACTCACGTCCTGGTGACTCCCGCATACGGCGGAAACCATGTAAGCCTCCCTGGGCCCCAAAGTATGCAAGCCCAGTGCAGCACAGACTTCAAGGTCACTCAGAGAAGCGTCAGGGTCTCCTCGGCTCTGGCCTGCCCCTCGGCAGTGTGGTCTCGCAATGACGAAGGCTGCACGTGCCACACAAGCCTGGGCTGATCAAATCACCGGTCACCTCCTGCTTTAGCAACAGGGTGGGAAAGGCCGGGCAGTGCCTGGATGAAGGCAGGCCAGCACAGGAGGCCCCTCTACCTTCTATGAGCCCCCCGCCCCAGCACAGCGTGCCTGAATTTCCCCACACTCAACGGCCATGGACCTGAGCCCATGATGCTGAAACCATAGCCCCAGCGCCCTCAGATGACCCAACTGCATGCTGGGAATAAACACAACTCAGGCGCCTTGACTGGTACCGGCCAACAGAACCTTCCAGATGATGCGCACACCTTCCACCGATGCTGGGCCACACCAGTCACCAGCCATGAGAGGCTCCTGGGCACTTAAAATATGCCTAAATGGAAAAAGCCACTCGATTTTTCTTTCCTTTTTTCTTTTTCAGAGACAGGGTCTCGCTGTCACTCAGGCTGGAGCCTCCAACTCCTGGACAGAAGCAATCCTCCTGCCTCAGCCTCCTGAGTAGCTAAGACCACAGGTGCACGCCACCACACCCAGTTAATTTGTATATTTTTGGTAGAGATGGGTTTCACTATGTTGCCCAGGCTGGTCTTGAACTCCTGGCCTCGTCATCCTCTTGCCTCAGCCTCCCAAAGTGCTGGGATTACAGGCATGTGCCACTGCACCTGGCCCCAGAATTTTCTAATATTACTTTTTCTAAATGTTCCCATAGAAATTCAGTTTCTGTCATTCCACATGACTCATTTTCTTTTCTTTTTTTTTGAGACTGAGTCTTGCTCTGCCGCACAGGCTAGAGTACAGCGGCACAATCTCAGCTCACTGCAACCTCCGCCTCCCGGGTTCAAGCGAATTCTCCTACCTCAGCCTCCCGAGTAGCAGGGATTACAGGCATGTGCTATCACGCCTGGGTAATTTTTTTGTATTTTTAGTAGAGATGGGGTTTCATCATGTTGGCCAGGGTGGCCTTGAACTCCTGACCTCAAATGATCCACCCACCTCAGCCACCCAAAGTGCTGGGATTACAGGTGTGAGCCACCGCACCTGGCTGATTCATTTTCATTTAATGTCAGTGCCAGCACCACCCCTCTACACGTGCCTGTCTAGAACAGCCTGGGGCAGGCATTCTTGTTTCTTTTGTTCACTTGTGCATTAACAGTGCTCTGAGCCCAGAGCTCGGCACAAAGGAAGTGCTCAAGAAAAGACTTGTTGGCTGGGTGCAGTGGCTCAAGTCTGTAATCCCAGCACTTTGGGAGGCTGAGACGGGCGGATCACGAGGTCAGGAGATCGAGACTGTCCTGGCTAACATGGTGAAACCCCGTCTCTACAAAAAATTAAAAACAAAAAAAACTAGCCGGGCAAGGTGGCGGGCGCCTGTAGTCCCAGCTACTCGGGAGGCTGAGGCAGGAGAGTGGCATAAACCCGGGAGGCGGGGCTTGCAGTGAGCTGAGATCCGGCCACTGCACTCCAGCCTGGGCGACAGAGCGAGACTCTGTCTCAAAAAAAAAAAAAAAAAAAAAGACTTGTTGAATGAATGAATGAGCCTCATCGTGAGAACACAAAATTCGCCCAACTGCACTGTCGAACCCCTTGGTCTCTGACTAGCTTCCACCTCGTAAATCAGGAGTGGACAAGCTTTCCTACCAAAAGCTAGAGGCTCAGCTCCCACTACTCAACTCTGCCCTTCTGGTGTGAGAGCAGCGACTAACCATATGTGAATCATTTGGCTGTGTGCCGTAAACCTTTACTTATCAACACTGAAATCTGAATTTCATACCTCTTTCAGGTGTCAGATACGTTCTTTTTCACCCACCCCCACTTAAAAATGTGAAGTCCATTCATAGCTCCCAGGCCTTATAAAAACAGCCAAGGGCAGCGTTTGGCGGGCCCTAGCTTACCACCTCTGTTTTACTTTATTTATTTATTTATATTTATTTATTATTATTAGTTTTGAGACGGAGTCTCACTGTGGTCCAGGCTGAAGTGCAGTGGTATGATCTCAGCTCACTGCAACCTCCGCCTCCCAGGTTCAAGTGATTCTCCTGCCTCACACTCCTGAGTGGCTGGGATTACAGGCCCACACCACCACACCCGGCTAATTTTTGTATTTTTAGTAGAGAGTAGGTTCCACCATGTTGGCCA